AGGGTTGCAATAATGCTTAGAAATCTGACAAGTAAAACAGAAGTTGATCTCATGGCTTCTAAAGTTGAGATACACAACACATGTGATGCTACGAAAGAAGCAATACTTTCATCTTCTAATTTAATACTTCTTCTGTAGGGATTTTTCTTTGAAAAAAGCTTTCCAGAGAACCATTGACCTTAAAGACCATTCAGCGACTTCTAAGTAAGTACGTTAATCATTCATTAAATATAACTTTTAGGAAAAACAAATTGTTACTGAAATATTAAAAATACATCCAATAAAAAATGAAACATATTCAACATGGAACTGTTCAAAGTCATCGTAGTATGTGTTCCACCCCAAATTAGTGGAAAAAGCCCAAATATTTCCCAGAAAAAAATAATATTGTAGTTGTAGCCCAAGCATGTCAGTCGATTCAAATAATGATGCAAAACGAAATGAGGGTTTACTTGCGAGGATAAGATAGGAATAGAAAAGGACATTATATCTTTTATGTTGAACGAAGATAAGAAAAATTGTGACCATGTCAGAGGTAGTAGGGAATACTTTGAAGCAAACTTATCCCTCTAATCTCACCAAATGAATGGTAGGATTAGAAAGAACAAGTCGCCTCATGTGTAAACGATGTCTTTGAGTTTTATTAATAAAACTCTAACCTTCACCCATAGCGCCATATATACCGCACCAATAACGTACTACATGCTTAGATTCAAGTCATACCCAGTGCACAAGGCTCCCGCTTTACGCAGGGTCTGGGAGAGGTGAATGTCGGCTAGCCTTACCCCCATTTATGAAGAGGCTGCTCCCAAGACATGCTTAGATTCAAGTAATGTAAAAAATATTATGGTGTAATAAAAAGAACTTTGCGTTCTATTTACGCATTACTTTTCACTTTTATCCATTATCAAATTGTAAGAGATCTTTTCTTTCGCGACAGCCGCTGGAGTGGAGGTGGAGGTAAATCATCTTATTTGATTTTCGTCTTCGGGAGTAAGAAAATGTACATTCAACACAACAGAGTCGGCTGATCATGCCTATATAATATCCAAGCTAATTAGAAGTAGTTTGTAGAAATAACTAAAAGCCAGAAAAATTGTGAGGCTATCATGCAAAGCTTATGTCGGTGGAGTGCATGACCATAGCACTAGCTAGAAAAGCTATAGCAATGCTCAGGTCGGTTTAGCAAACCTATAAGTAAGATGCATGTGTTGTTGTATCAACTAAGTGAGCAAGTAAGAAGAGCCAAGAAGTAGGCAAGCAAGCAGGTAGCAAAGAAGAGAGACGTAAAAGCAAGTCCTCTTTTGAGGAGTGTGAGTGATCTAGAATTCTGTCTCTATAAACTGAGAGAGCATCATAGCTTCGAAAGTTGTGTCTTTGAAAGTTGTTTGTGTTGTAATATTTTGTGAGTGTAATACAAATAATTTGTTTACTTGTTTTGTCTCTTCAACACTTGTGTAAGAGTTGTGTACTTTAATTTTTCTCAACGTTAAAAGGTTTAAGAGGACTCCATGTCCAATGAACTTCATCCTTTGGGGTCGTTCATTGCCCCTTCAAACAATACAAGCTCTTTGTTTGTTTTTATTTTACAACGATTCATGTTAAGAAGTAAGAAAATAAATTGATACTAATCTCGTCACCCTACCAAACTCGAATGTTCTTCAGTTAATTGTTAAGAATGTGTTGTCAAATCATGACAAGAGGATAAAAACAATATCCACGTACCATAAAAAAAAAAAGAAAAAAAAAAGCCTTAGTCGATATTGCCTACCATAAAAAAACGTGGTGGTCAACATTACCTTCCTTAAAAAAATGTGTTGGTCAATATTGCCTACCATCGATGGTGACGTACCCATTTTTCCGCAAATTTTTTTTTTCTTAAGAGTTTGCATATGGACTTACAAGGTATTTTCCGAGAAGTTGTGGATTGGACTTTAAGCTCAATGATTGTCCTCCACGAAAATTTTTTGAAGACCACGGGAGCAATTCGACAATTTGGAAGGGCATGGTTCGTAGTCAATGAATTGAAATGTTTTCTAATCTTCTTAGACGTTTGAAAAATTCAAACCCGATAAATGTTTTCTAATCTTCTTAGACGTTTGAAAAATTCAACACTTGTTAACACTTCAGTACATTTATAGCAGTGTAGGTAACTTATTGCTCAAACAACCTCATCACTCATGGATAGGCCTTTGAGACTTGTTTTACTTGTGAGTTTCCTAAGCATTGCAGCCACTCCCATTAGTTTGGGCAATGCAAATCTGGGACTTCGGGTTCCTTGCACTGAAAATGAGAGGCAAGCCCTTCTGATGCTCAAGCAAGATTTTCTTGATTCTTCGAACCGGATTTCATCCTGGATTGGCGAAGGAGATTGTTGCTTTTGGCCTGGAGTTGTCTGTGGTAACTTAACCGGCCATGTCCGCGAGCTCCACCTTGGTAATTACAATTTGGGTGGTAAGCTGAATCCTTCTCTGCTTAATTTAAGCAATCTCGCTTACTTGGACCTAAGCAACAATGAATTTGAAGGAATGCAGATTCCTAACTTCTTCGGTTCTCTTACAAGTTTAAGGCATCTTGACCTCTCACAATCAGATTTTCAGGGAATAATTCATCACCAGCTGGGGAATCTTTCTAATCTACGCTTTCTTGACCTCCATGGTAACTATTTTGAGGTTAAGAGCCTGCAATGGATTTCTGGTCTTTCTCAGCTGCAGCACCTGGACATGAGTGGTGTAGATCTCAGAGAAGCATCCGATTTGTTCCAGGTGACAAACACTTTCCCCTCTTTGCTAGAGTACTTGAATATGTCTGATTGCGGACTTTATCAAATACCATTTGGAATTGCAAATGCTTCTGCTCTTAAAGTTCTTAATCTCGAGGGGAATTCCATCAGTTCTATTATACCAAAATGGTTGTACAGCCTTAGCCATCTCGAGTCATTATTCCTTTCCTACAATCACTTGCGTGGCCAAATCTCAAACTCCATTGCAAACTTAACAGACATTGTCAATCTTGACTTATTTCATAATCAACTTGAAGAGGAACTCCCAACCTCAATGGAAAAACTTTGCAAGTTGATGGTTTTTGATCTGTCGAGGAACCGTGTCAATGGGAGGGTATCCGAAATCTTTGAAAGTTTGTCTAGGTGCAATTCAAGTCAACTAGAGTCCTTGAGCTTATCCAATAATAATCTTTCTGGTCTTTTAACAGATGAGCTAGGAAATTTTGAAAAGTTACGTTTCCTTGATCTTTCAAGCAATTCAATATCAGGTTCCATTCCAATGTCCTTAGGAAATCTGTCATGCTTAGAAGAATTACTCATTCATAATAATTCGTTCAAGGGTGTCGTCTCTGAGGTTCATTTTACCAATCTCACAAAATTGGTGAAACTTTATGCAAAAAATAATTCATTGACTCTAGAAACCAGTACAGATTGGCATCCACCATTTCAACTCCGAGTGTTGTTCTTAGATTCTTGGTATCTAGGGCCAGAGTTACCTTTGTGGTTTCATAGACAAACACAATTGCAGTATCTAAGCATGGTCAACACAAGAATTTCAGGTACCATCCCAACCTGGTTTTGGAACTTTTCTTCCCAACTAAGATTTGTCGATCTCTCTCACAATCAATTGTATGGGGCAGTTCCAAATATAGTTGGTGCTCCTTTAGACATAATTGACCTAAGTTCAAACCAATTCAATGGTCCGTTACCTCTCATCTCCTCCACCGTTGATGTACTAGATCTTTCCAATTCAGCATTTTCCGGATCCGTCTTTCACTTCTTTTGTGATAGCATAGATGGGCCAAAACAGCTCAGAATTCTTTATCTTGAGAACAACTTTCTTGATGGACCAATTCCTGATTGTTGGAAAAACTGGAAAAAGTTGATTGTCCTAAATTTAGACAACAACAATTTGACAGGGAACATTCCAAGCTCCATAGGATACTTACTTTTCCTCGAATCGCTGCACTTGCGCAATAATCACCTGTTTGGAGAGTTGCCAATGTCCCTACAAAATTGTCAGAACCTCTTAGTTGCTGACCTTGGTGAAAATAAGTTTGTTGGAAGCATACCAATGTGGATAGGAAAAAGTCTTTCAAATTTGATCGTTCTCATCCTTCGTTCCAATAAGCTTCAGAGTGACATTCCTAAGGAAATCTGCAGTCTTGTCAATCTCCAAATCTTGGACCTTGCGTATAATAATCTCTCCGGAACAATCCCAAAGTGTTTCAACAATTTCGGCGCCATGGCCACCTTGTCAAACTCAGGAGGTCCCATTTCATTCTTCAGTTATATGTACGGTTCGCCTGAGCAGTACATGGAGGAAGCAATCTTGGTGAGAAAAGGTAGAACAGACAGATATAACAAATTTCTTAGCTTGGTAGCTAACTTGGACCTTTCACACAACATGATATCTGGAGAGATTCCATAGGAATTGACCAGCCTCATCAGCTTGCAATCATTGAACATATCGAAAAATCTGTTGACTGGAAAAATCCCTTCAACGATTGGTGATATGGTAATGTTAGAGTCTCTTGATCTTTCCATGAACAAACTTTCTGGTGAAATTTCTCCAAACATGTCGAGGTTGACATATCTTGGTACCTTGAATTTGTCTTATAACAATTTGACCGGACAGATTCCCCAATGCACACAGCTCGGGGGCTTTGATCAGAACAGCTATATTGGCAATGAACTTTGCGGATTTCCACTCAACGTGAGCTGCAAGGAAAAGCGGACAATGCAGCCAGTAGTTGTTCAAAAACACATGGGAAGCCATTTACTCGAAGACGGTTGGTTCTATCTGAGCTTGGGACTAGGCTTTCTGTTCGGTTTTTGGAGTGTTCTTGGTTCGTTGCTTCTCAACATGCCATGGAGCTTTCGCTTTTCTCAGTTCCAGAATAGCATTGTTCGTAGACTATATGGTATAATTGTGGAATATTGTTGTTGAGAGAGGTAGTTTTCTACATGTCAAAAGAATAAGGCTGAATGCTTTTGTCCAATCAAATAATATTGAGTTTAAATTAATGTAAGTTTACAAATGCAGTCCATGAATAAAAAATCATCGACATTTCTTCCTTCAGACTTTTTGTCATCACAAAGCTGCAAGGATCAACAACGAGGCAAAAACTACGATGGATGGCCTTGATGCTGCTGCCCTATGAGCCCTATTGGGAAGTCTAGGGTACTCGTCAGGAGAGGGCATCACGCATTCATCCCCGTTGAATGAAATTCTCCTGGGAAAAGTCCATCCCTCTCTGAAAGTGAAAACCCCTTCATCTTTATGCAGTACCATCTCAGTTTGCACGTTCCCATTCTTTCCCGTACTGAGTAACATGTCGTTGTAATATTTGATCCCCCAAAACATTCCAGTATCATCTGCGGAAAGCAATATACATGCAATGCAGCTCAATGTTACTTGCAAATAATTTTCTACGTGAATAAGAAGAAAAATATCAAGCTTTTGGTTTGTTTAACTTACTTATATTTCCATACTGACCGAGAGGGTGGTAGTTGAAGCTGAACAACTGCGTTAGACTTTGCAAATTCGGGTGTTGAACGACTAAGGTCCAGTCAGAATAGTTTTTAACAAAATTATAATTGGTGATTGTGATCTTAACCCTCCAGTACTCCTTGTAACTTTCCTTAACATGCCAATGTATTCCTATCGGGCACATATGTCGTGTACAAGTCACCAAAGGTGATGGTTCTTCAGTCTCGCGCTCACCAGGAAGTTGCAACTCATCACCTGGCCTGCAGATTTAGTATCACAAGAATTGGTTCTTAAAAACAGCAACTGCCAACAAATATAAATAAAAACTTAAATGACTCGAGCTAACATGTCCCAAAAAATTTGTGCAAATAACCAATGTTCATTGCAAAACTTGCAGAGATAAGTTGCTTCAATCATCAAAATGTGATGCTAATTTCAGACTTTTTCCGTTAGAAAATCGATAACCAAGAGATCTTACTTCACGCATTTTGCTCCGGGAAGTCCTTGGCAGCCGCAGCTGCAGCGGGGGCACTTAGCAATTGTGCTATTGTAGAATGAAGACAAGGAAACACAGCACTTTGGAGAAGGTGATGCTCTGAACTGGGAGTACATACAAGTCACATTCCATGTCTCTACAAGAAAACCACAATAAACATGTTACATAGAAAACTAAACATTGTTTACCAAGCTAAACCCTAAAACCTTTCACTAAAAGCGAAGTGCTTCTAATATTTTTATTTTTATTTTTTTTTAAACTAGTGTATTCGAGTCTTTGACCCGACTAATCACTAAGCCCTTCACCTGACCCCACAACATTTGGGGACGAGAAACTCTAGCATTTGCTAGGTGGGTACCGTGGGAGAGAGTCAACCCCATACCACTTGGGAGCAAACCAAGGACCTAACTACTAGACCAACAACTCTTAGGTAAGTGCTTCTAATCTACTATTGACCAGAAAATGCATGCTTCTCCAAGAAGCGTTCAAAGTGATTCTGTAAAAAGCACTTTTGTCTAGTTTTTGCCTAAGTTTGTAAAACTTAGTTATATAAGATTCCGATGCTTAGTGAAGTTTTTTAGTTCTCACACTCACCGAGAGTTTCTGTCCATCGCCGGCCATCTTGGCTAGTCTTAGTCGGTTGGACTTGGACAGGCGCGCCGCAGGTGTAACCAGGGAGTCCAAGGGTGAAATTGTCGGGCATATTTATATTTGTACTATTGTTGGAAAATGCTCCAACATTCATCCGAAAGGCAGATAGAAACTTGGAAGAGTCTTGGACCATGGAAGAAAGCTCTCCTCCCTTGCAGCAATTGGAGAACTGTTTGTTAAAAGGGGTTCCGGGGAGGAGATCGATGATCACCGGCTCCTTTTCACAGCAATGAGGACGCTCTGGTGCGCCTTTGAACCGAGAGCAGTTTCCTTGATAAATGGCCTCAGCTCCCCACATGTTCCATATCACTTCATCACCTTGCCATCTCCAACCCAGCTTCCAACCGGGGCGATCCACATGCCGAAATTGCTGGAAGTTGTATATCGATACTTTTATCTGAAATCAAATCGTGTAGTAAACATCATGTAAGTTCAACACAACCACAACAAGTCTTATTCCATTAAATGAAGTCGGTTATATAAATTCTAGACCGTCATTATATTCTGTTTTATGTTAAGTGTTCTTTTAGCTCCAAACACTTCATGGTTTTTTTTAAAGTCTAGTTCTTAAGTCTTATAACCCTTTTGCCTTTAACCAATGTCTCACAATCGCATTATCAAATTCTTTAAAAATCTTTAGGGGAATTAGGTCGAAAATACCTGGGCCCTTAGAGGGGTATTTCGGTAACTTAGGCGACAAACCTAGTACTGGACCCAGAAGTCTGACAAATAAAAAGGAATATTGTGATCCTTTTTGTGTCCCATCACATACAATGTCTAAATTGCCCCCAATGTAAGCTGATTGAATCTCTGAAGCAATCCTGTTGAGTTCAGCGTGAGGATCCTAGGATTCCGTGATCGTGACCGTTTATTGTACATCGTACAGTCATTTTTTATTTGGTACTATTTATATTTAATTTTAAATTTGAAATTTTAAAATAATTTCTAACCGCACGATGTATAATAAACGGTCACGATCACAGGATCCCTAAGATTCAAAAAAAAAGGATTCCAGTGTGAACCTCACCCACCGAATTGTTTTTTTTATTTTGACCAAATCTAAGTTCAACCTCAAACACAACCCAACAGGATCCTCTCCAGATCCTTTTGGAAATGACTCTGAGGATCCGTGAATCGTGTTCGTTTATTGTATATCGTGCGGTCAGTTTTTATCTATTACTGTTTATGTTTATTTTTAAATAAAAATATTTAAAATGATTTCTAATTGCACGATGTACGATAAAAAGACACGATTCACGAATTCTGCGAGAATCCGGACTCAAACAAAACAAACATTCTGGAATGCAAAACGCCATGTCACGCACCCCACGTGCCTAGCCCATGCATCTAAATTTGGTGCATCTCTCGCAACCATTTACAAATTAGATGAGTGGTCACTTTTTAAACGCATTGCAAGCCACGATAGGCCAAAAGACACTACTAAAAAATTGTGAAATGACACATTCCGACCTAGAAATCTATATGAACATCTAATTGAATGGTGCTGGCTTCGATACTTTTTAGATGTCCGTTAGCATGCTTCGATTCTAATGTCAATTTCGATATTTAGGTCGGAATATATCATGAAAAAAGGATTTTCTTGCGATACAATAAGAATGTAAAGTTGATGCAAAACTAATGAAAAATGAAGGGGAGATGGGTAATTAACTAAGAAAAAGAGACTTACGTCAGATGTGCTTTCGCTTTGCTGCAAAAAATCCCAAGTGACGGTTATGTTGGCATATGGATCTAATGGATCGAACCCAGCTGCAATTTTTTTCACCAAAAATCTCAAGAAATTAACTAAATAAAATCTTTTAGAGAGAGAGAGAGGGGGAGAGAGAGAGAGAGAGAGAGAGAGAGAGAGAGGTATGTATACTTACATGACAATGAGAAGGAGGTGATGAGAGAGAAGGTGAAAATCAAGAGCTTCTTCATAGCACTTGATGATCTTTGAACACCAATCTCCAGAAAGAGGGGTTTAATCTATCTCTCCAAATTAATTAACCCCGGCCAAACATTAGGAATATAAATATAATTCTTCTAATCAAACTGTTCAAATTGCACTATTGATGACATATATACATAATTCAACGCAGAAAAACATAATGTAATTATTCTATTGTTTGTCACAAACAAAAACTATATGTAGATCAAAGACTCGAAAACACGTATATATGTCTCTGTCTCTTTCTCTCTAAAGTTGAGAGAGACTCGAAAACAAAAACGAAGAACACAATAATTATTTCCAAAAAAAAAAAGGAAGAAAGTATTATTTATGGAAAGAAAAAAAAAGAGAGGAATGAAGAATTAATTGCAATTAATGTAGTGTGAGAGGGTGGAGGAATTAGTGTTTTCCCAAATCTGGATGCAATTAAAAGGAGGAGGAGGTTAATTAGTACTAATTAAGATTAAGATGCGTCTAAGACTCTGTGAGTTGGTTTCTGAGAGTGTAAACATTCAAAGCTCACGCGTAATGACATCCGGGCCATTTGGCCTTCCGTTTGGGTTTACTCATTTTAATTACTATTTTTTTTTCTAATATAAAACAATTAGGAAAAAGGAATACTAGCTACCTTCTCTATTTGTCTTTCCCTACATATATTTTGATCATTCTGTAAAATATTTCTATGAAATTGAAAAAGTCATCAGTGGAGGGGCTGATTTAACAAAGATACCCTCAATTTAACACCAAAATAATTAACAGTGAACAATCTCAATGATCACTTCTATTAGTTTTAAATCTCATGAACCAAAATGAGGAATTATACTAATCTCGAAGACCTTTTGGCAAAAAATCGTTTTATCTCAAACGATAATGTTAGAGTTTTGGGTTGAACTACGTAATGATTTACAGTGAAATTTCTAAAAGAAAACAATTGTTGCATCCGTACAACCTCACCCTTATATGCTAAGAAAACAAGGGTTGAACTATGAAATGACTTGCAGTGACATTGTTAGGGTTTTGGGTCCACGAACGTCGTCGTTTTGGGTTTAAAGACATGTAAGAATGGTGGTTGGTGATATGGCCTAATCTTCACCTTTGAATTAGCTTGGAAATGTTTTGAATGGCTGTGAAAGAAAGGAGGGGATATGACGGGAAAAAATGGGACCCATAGTCGTAATTTTGTTTTCTAATACATGTTTTGTTACGCGTATAGTACACGTGTATTATACACAAAAAAGCAGTGCATGTATACAAAAATAAACAAACATCTATTGGAAATTTTGAATAGAAATTTCATTGTCCCACATTGCGAACATGCATAGTCCCAATATACATTCATCAGCATGACATTTAGGACACAAAAAATCAACATTCTTCTTCTACAATCACAAATATCCTTTATGAGAAAACCACACAGATATTTGCCAGATGTCAAGTTTGCCAGTGCTAGAATTTTGATTTGATCGTTGAATCATGGTGAAGCAAACGTCTGTAGAACTACAAGCACTGAGTAGGAACGAAATTTCTGTTTCAAAGACATTGCGGTACGCAAGCCTCGATCTTCAATATTTATGTTTAATATTATTTCATTGTTCATACACTGTTAATTAGTTGTTTACATTTATTATTTGTTAGCATATATAAATTTATCACAGATTGTTAACATATCTTCAACCACATCTACAGTGCCCTGAGGTATAAGGTTATGCTAATGTCTTAATCGCTGCTTATAGCAGATGTGTAGGTTTATATAGTAAATCCCAACAGTGCTCAGGAAGCACAAAACTACTTGTGCTAAAGTTCAAGAAGAAATTCACACAGATATGGAAATGATGAGTCTCAGTTGCAGATGAATTCCCGTCACAGGCTTCAGGTTAGCTCAGTTCATCCCGAGATGGTGCGAATATCGGCAATCCTGGAAGTGAAAGAAGGTATTACATGGGACATTATATTGCTTGCAAACATGGATAAAATGGTAATCAACAAAGAAACAAGACAATAAAATTGCAAGAATGATAAAAAAATGACCTTTAAAGATCATTGATGCCGACGGCGCCCTTTGACATTGTCCTCAGATAATGACTGCCAGTTGTTATGATCAAGGTTGCTCAAGTCATCAAGTTCCGCAATGGCAAGCAAGTAGGTTGTGAGTTTCAAAAGCTCATGATCACTGTCTCGGCTAGAATGGGCCTTCTTGAATGGCTTGATGATCAAACCATTTTGTGGGTTCATTGCAAAGTTTCTTCGTAAGTGGGAGTAAGGCTAGCCGACATTCACCTCTCCCAGACCCTGCGTAAAGCGGGAGCCTTGTGCACTGGGTACGACCTTTATCGCAAAGTTTCTTCGTAGATCATCAAACATTATAGTGTTTTTGGAACTGTAGAACTGATTATAACTGATAGTTAGACAGCAAATGAAAACTGCGGTACTCACATACTAAAAATAAGATTTATAAACCGGCCCGCAGAGCTCACATACCACAAATAATTACATGATCGTAATACATACCTCAGGGAATTGAGTCCAAATTAAGCATAATGGCTTGCAATCAAAGATCCCGCGAGAATCAAATTGAACTGTGATCATTGCTAAATAGTCTAGAAGAGCTGTGATTTTGTAGTTGGGATTGCTGAGCACTCCCAGCTATTCACGTGCTGGCATGCGATGGCCGTACTTGCAGATCACCGGTAATCAGTTTCATTCATATTAGTCCCAGTCCCAGCGGTTGCCTTGCCGCAATAATTACATTGGTAATTGCTGGCACCAACCTATAATTTCATTTTGCAATAACTATGAGTAAAAACTGCAGTTTTGTAAGCTCGCTCTTGTGATGCAGGGGACAAGTATTTAAACCAGCTGCAACATATCAGACTGAGCTTGGAGGCTTGGCGTGGAAGGACGGAGTTCACAGGGTAATTACTTTATGCTACAAGTTTAATCCTAATTCGCATTTTGCAAAAGTTTTTATCAGTGGAGCCCAGAAATGGTGGTCCACCTCCTTACGTAACTTCTTTTTCCGTGATCACTAAAATTCCCCTTGTACTACCGGATTTAATAAAAGTTGATCCACCCACTCATGCCTCCTTGAAATTCCTATGAATTATATTGGAACGCCACTTAATAGCTCATACAGCGATCTGGTAGATCGTGGTCCTAAGTTCAAATTTTGTAAATGGTTGAATCACTTACCGCCGATCTTGATAACAGTTTTTAATTATCCTTTCACATTTGAGTTTTTCTCTATTAACTTTTTTTTATAAAGAGGTACAACTATTGACGAACCACGGTTATCCACCCCTTCTGAACTCAGAAAAGGCTAGTGGGGAATTGCACCTTACTCGTGCCACAGTCAAGCAGATTCACAAGCTTACAAAGTATTGCCATGCTACTTCGTAGATGCTTCCACATTTCAACCTAAAATAATGCATTATTGATAGTTGAATAGCTGTAATCACCGCCACAAAGTCATTTGTTATAATGTATGGATAGTCTTTGTCTTTTATGTAAAACTTCGGTTGAATGACAATGAGTTCTTCATCTCAACCCATTTCTTGCTGCAGAAATGAAACATATATAAATTACTACACAGGTGGCAAGAAATTTGAAGCTCTTGACTTGCTATTCTACTTAAGCTTCCATTTATGCCATCACACAAGACTGAGATGGGAAGAAGAAAAAAAGATTGATGCAAATTCATACTCTTTTCGACATATATAGCTTCTCTAAAATTTACACACACCCATATTAGCAAAACTTAGTCTAAATGTGCAGTCCTAACTCAAGGTCTAGCAACATGAAACTTTACGATAACAGATTATCTTTCTTCCACTTTGATGCTAACACATTATTGGTTCTACATATGCAGTTTCTTTTACTCGTGATTCAAACAATTCATCCGACAAGAGATAATAAAGGTCGTACCCAGTGCACAAGGCTCCCGCTTTACGCAGGGTCTGGGAGAGGTGAATGTCGGCTAGCCTTACCCCCATTTATGGAGAGGCTGCTCCCAAGTCTCGAACCCGAGACCTACCGCTCATGGGCGAAGGCACTTGCCATCGCACCAAGTGCGACCCGACAAGAGATAATAGAAAGAAAAAAAAAATAGAGGTATAATACTTAATAACATCCAAACAATGCACTTCCAACGTTATACGACAGTCTCCTAGGCAGGTTTAGAAAATGAGCATGATACTTAATAACGCGGAAACAAACGAGGAAATACCTGTATCACAAATGCTTAAACTATATAAAGAACACAGAAGTTTTAATCAATCCATCCGATCTTTCTGTCTTTATATAGAATTGGTATAGCATTTCGTTTTCAAATGAACTAACCTGGTTGCAGACCGATATCATATTCCGCGTAAGCAGCTGTAAGAAAATCGTGAAGAACTACAAAAGACAATGTGTGTAAAGGCAAATGAAAGACACATGGAAGCTCTGAAAAAGTAGAAATATCGTATGAAGAAAGAACAACTCACAAGGCCGCATAAGTTGAAGCAGGTACCGGTGATCAAACAGAGTGTAGTCGATATCCAGCACAAGCAGTTTCTTTCCTTGCCGGCATGGATTTCGAAGTTCAATCTACAACCCAAAGGCACATAAATAAACAAAAATACATAAAAAATAATGCACATTTATCTGCAATCATAAGTGTAAAATAGAAACAGCTAACCTTGTATTGATCAACACGCCTTCTGCTTATTGGCATACTTATCTTTAATCGCAACAGCTTCATCTTGGGCAATCTCAAAGCCTGAGCCTTCTCCTGCTGCTCCTGCCATTGCCCCCAACAATTTGCTCTCTCTCTCCTCAGGTTTTAGTCTAGAGAGAGAGAGAGAGAGAGAGAGAGGTATCACTATCAACAGAAGCTACTTTTCTTCTTTTACAAATATACTAGCACATAGCACACTTTGTGCGTGCGAACAAAATAGGTATATAATTATCATTTTATAAAAAAATGAGGGTAAAATAAGAAAAATAGGGATATAATTATCATTTTGTCAAAAAGTACAAAATTAAAGTCTCTTCAACCGCCCACCTCCTCTCATATTCTCCTCAATCACAATCACTTCAGTTTATTCAAATTATCCAAAAAACATCATGATTTCACTTACGTGTATGAAAAAATGATGGTGGGACAATTTCTCTTAATAAGTGCATATTTTTTATCTTATGTAAATATTTCCCATTTTCATTCTCTTCACTTTAATCAAATCTCCTAGGCCGTTGTGTTTTATTCAAATTGCTCTCTCAATTTAATATTCTATTTCTCTTAGTCATATATATAAAATTGTATAACATAAATTGTTGATTTCATATATATATAATTGTATAACATAAATTGTTGATTTAGTCATTAAATTGAGTTAATAATATATTACACTTTTCGGATATGAAGTGATTATTAAAATGAGTCACGAGATTTCAATTTGGTCATATTATATCTAACGGTAATGAAATTGTATCAATTTGCGTCGTTAATTTGATTGTATGATAAATCATTAAATAGCAGACGTGATGAGTTTGAGACCATTATATGGACTAATGTGTAAGCCAAATTTGCACTATATTAACGAAAAAAAGACTCAGCAATTTAATGGATAATTTAGACATTCAAAGAGACAATGTGTAGCTAAAACAATTTCAAAACCTTACTGTTCAATGTGAGAAAATTAGAACTTCATGGTCCATTTTTAAATTCATCTTAAACTTGAAGAGTGTAAAATGTAGTGAGCCCTTGAATTATTATATAAATGAAAATTTCATCTCTAAATTACTTTTTCTAAAAAATAAGTCTTTAATTATTAAAATTTGTCTATTTCCTCCCTTTTGTAAGTATTATATCTAAACCCTTGTCATTTTAAATCCCTTGACTTGAACTCAACACAATTTAGAGTGTACTACCATCATTTCTCACCTATGAGCTCTTAACATTATAAACTTTAAATCTATTAATTAACCCTCTAAAATTAACTCCTTAGACTATTTTTTTTGGAAAAGCAAGTTCATAAATTCAAATTTCTGTATAAAATATCAATCCACCCTTCAACGTGTTTCTCACTCAAATCACGTGGCTCAAATTCTTAGAAAATTTACTAAATAACTTCAAATTAACAATTTTTAACGAATTTAAGAACATAATGACTACGCATCCTAGTGCGGTTTCGATCCCAACTAATTCCCTTCTTCCTAACATTTAACAATTTAATTCAATAACGTTATCGTTCATAAAGGAAAAGTATTTATAGACTTAATTTTTACCCATATAATAATTCACGGACCGAATTGGCAAATTACTTAAATAAAGGATCAGATTATTCAATTATTCATTCATAGATAACCCGACAACTTAACATATCAAACATGAATCAGAGCAGATCCAATCCGATTGGACTCTCCAAAGGCTTTAGTCAGTGTCCCTTCCAAAGGAACATAACACAGAACCTAAATAAAAATGGCAGTAGGTGGGTTTTACATACAAAGTGCCTCCAACTCCATTTTTTTAAGAAGAAAATTGACAAAAAAAGTAATAAATGAAAATGAGCCTCCACGAATATCTACTATCTAGTCTTCATCCTCCGTTTCCTCATCATCGTCGTCATTGTTTTCACCGTACCTCCAACCATCTTCGACATTGTCACGGTCCTCCTCTGTTTCTTCACTGTCTTCTTCGTCGTAAACATCTTCTTTGATCGGCCAGGGTTTCTTCATTGTGTTCATAGGTGCAGGAGATGGAGTTGAGCCTTTACGCTGAGCAATTTTGGCAGGCGGGTACTTCAAGTTAGGTTTGGGCCTGTTTTGTTTCTGGCTCTTGCCATTCATACGTTTTCCAGCATAGGCATCTTGATCACTGGCTTCATCCATCTCGTTATGAGCATTATTAGCAGGATTCTCTGCATTCTCATCAGACACATGGCCAGGATGCTCTCTCCTGAGATGCAGCTTAAGCTTGTATTCATGGATGTACGCCTTACTACACCCGTCATATGGGCAAGCATAAGGGCGATCCAATGATGCATTGCTATAAGCAGGCTTCGGAGTTCTGATTTGCTTCTCTGCAGGTGGGGTGGCATATTTTGGCACAGAAACTGGCTCGTCGATGGGCATCTGCAAAATCAGTGTTAATATTGCGAATCAAGCCATACTTCCTATGTTAAGAAAATCCAGAAAAATAGATGTATGACACTAATATCAGCGATTATAAGAATGTCCAAACTGAAGGGAGATATTTTGGCCTTATTTTTCAGATATTTTTGTTGGTAAGAACTAAGGAGGACCTTAATGTGCCTGTGAATTCATAAAGGACTTTTATATTTTGCACAAAAGTAACACAAGCTTTAGATTTGTACAGAAAACGGGCCTTTACCTGCACCTTGTTTGTTCTCTATCATTTACATCAAGATGATTTGCTACCCACTAATTAAAGGTGACTTACCTGTACCTTTTTTTCGATACTCACTGATTTTGTCTTTGGACTGGTGAATCCAGAAGAACAGAATTGGATTTGAATGCTTATGTAAATTGCTAAACAAGACTTTTGAAGCTCTAGTTTCATACATTAGTGAAATCCACATGTCAACTTATAAAATAGGATAAATCATAAATCTCAACTATTTAAGAAGAATATTTTACTTCAATTTCACTCTGACAATCATTTGCATGTAGAGTATTATTCTCCCATTGAAACTCTATTTTTATTCTTTCAATGCAAATTTAATGAAAAAAAAATCATATTGCCTTCATACTAAATGCACTCATACTTCAATCAATACTAGTTCGAGATGCAGCTATGAAACATTCACACAATATTTTGTACCAAAAACAAATGAAGACAATTGCATCAAAATATTTCATAAATAATAAAAGTGAGGCAGGATTAGCAAACCTTTTCATGGTGAGCTACAATGTGGTTTTTAAGCTTGTACTCATGTGCATATCTCTTTCCACAGTCTGGGTATGGACAGATATGATAGTTCTCTTGCGAATGTGTTTTCATGTGCGATCTAAGGTTGAAATCCAGGGAGAAGGCCTGCAAAAGTCATATTCGAAATTAATTACAACACAACAAAATCAGTTATGCATATTAAACACCCACAAATAAAAGGAATTTATGAAGCCGAAAATAGACATCAAATTTATGAAAAGCACAAAATGGTTCAAGTAAACAGCTACTGTGATACTACCCTGATAGTAACAGTTTTTTTTTCTTGATTGGAAGTGTAAAATTAAATACTTGCATGACGATAATCATTATCTTAAGAAGCCTTTGTTAAGGATGCCCAGAACTGCAATTAATTACCAGATTCTATTTTCCACATGTAGGGTGTAGTCTAGCTTATATTAGACATGCAACTCTGGTTCATTCTAAAACAGAATGTGAGCTACAAAAATCGAACTAACAAAAAATAAACAAAGATTTCACCACATATCAATGATACATTGAGAATATGTTATAAACTCCTCGCTAGAACTGTAATGTGCAGCAGCTAATTACCTTGTCAATGTGCACAGGAAACTAACTTAAGATAACATAGCAGGGAAGATAATATAATGCGTCCTTCAGACAGATAATCTAATCGTATAGTTTGTCGGAGGGAAAGTACAACTAAACCATCAAAACTTCAACATTAGATGCCAAGATAACTTGAAACAAAACAGTTTAGTAATGGATAAGATAATACCTTACCACAGCCTTCATGAGGGCATACATAATCCCTTTCTCCAGTATGAATAAGAAAGTGTCTTTTCAACTTTGAACTATCCAAAAATTTCTGCAGCATTCAAAATATTATTTTTCAAATTCACTAAGATGTAAGAAACTCTAATGGAATATCAGTATCAATCCATTGATTTTCGTTTTCCCTTTACCCTTTTTTCCCAGAGTTCCATAGCGTACGTACCAATATATCCTTGCTTTAAAGTACCCACACTAGTGCAACAAGAAACTATAGGAATTGCACATTTGGGACTGAACAAGACTTTACAAGTGCTGGGAAAAAATATTAGACCAACTACATAAACAAATACTTTCTTCTTGTATTTTGCTTTTGGGTACCAAATTAAGAAACTGACAACTCTTCTCCATTTGTTTGACATGACAGTAACCCATAGCTTTACTCTATCCATGTAAAACAGACACTACAACACTACAAGGAAAAGAACATACAGACGGAAACAATACCTTTCCACAACCCTCATAGTGACAAACATATTGTTTCTCCCCATGGACGTGAGAATGCTTCCTCAAGGCACCAGCATCAATAAAGGTCTTCCCACAGCCATCATAGCTGCAAAGAAAAAGCACTTCGGTTGTTGGTTCTGGCTCTGGCTCTGGAGCCACTGTTTTCTTTGATTTCTCATTCAAAGCCTTTAATGTATCCGCTATTGAAAACAGAAAAATGAGAAATTAGTCCAAACTCATATCATAGGAACAAAGACAAACAACAGAACATGCTCACCCATCATGTCAATCCAAGATGGCCTTCTTAAGCCTATTTGTGATTCATTAAGCCTCAGGCCAAAAGTAAAACTAATGCTTTTTAATAAACCCAATGCATCACTTAAATGACATATCAAGAACTTAATAACTATTTTATCAGATGTTATAGACACATGACAGCACAAACTCAAGAAAGTACAACCTAGAAAACACTTTAGAAGTCAAACCATAGGCTTACAAAAGCAGAAAGATCTCAGTTAAGACACTAATCCCTATTGATTTTTAATAAATATCAACTTGGGAAAGTATAGTGAGTGAAGTGCTTAACGTATGTATTCACACTAACTGAATAAGAGCGTTCGTGCATACAATGATGCACATAAATGGCCTTGATGTACATTTTAATGTCATATTTCATCACAATAATAATATTATATACAAATAAAGGAAAATTTAGTAGATAAGACTTCTATGACGAATTAGATCAGTCATAGCTCGAATAGCATGTAGACTTCATACATCATACCTACGGCAATACTAATTCCATCTCTTTTTTCCTTTTTATGATAAGAAATTTCTTTTTCTGTTTCTTTATATTCATACACACTTAATAATTTATATTATCCTTCTCATTTCTACAAAACTCGTACTACAAAGTAAAGTGGTTTAGAAGTATTTTCAGGAATCACCGTACAGGACATGGTGGGGAAGAAGAAGTACCTGTGACCCATTTCATTAGAGAGCACTTTCCACCTGTTGCTACAACATCTTGTGGAACCCTAACAACAATTTTGTAGCAACCATTAACCAAGGTAGGTTAAGTACTTCAAATTATCCAAGTAAATGCTTCATCCATAAGGTTCTACAAGCCCCCGCCACAGAAGCCGGCAGCTCGCTTCTAGACATATTGTTCGTGAATCTTAATCACGATTTATAAGAGAAAAACTAGAGATTCAGAAAACTATTGTTTTTTCTTCACTTTTGTGGTCCTAAACATTAAAACGATATAAATGAACATAAAATTAGGCCGTTTAACTCAACTTTCCAGTAACCAAATCTTCAACTGACATTTTATGTTTCTTTTGAATTGAATTTGCTAAACAAAACTTTTCTTTCAATTTATGATTTATCAGAGCCACTTAGTCCTAAAATCTAGTGGTATTCCTTTTCACTTGTAAGTGAGAAGTCTTAGGTTCAGCTCTCGCCAAAGGCGAATTTGTACCACATTATTACTAGCCCATTGTGAAGCTAAGCATACCCCTCCTCCCCCTAAGTATAGATAATATCGTTTGTTCAAAAAAAAAAAATTATGATTTATCAGATAACCCAATGCACCCTTCTCACTTCTTACCAACAATCAACACCTACAATTGAGTCCATAAAAGTACCTTACTTTATTTCAAATATAATCTGGAACCACAAAACCCAAGAATCGAAGGGACTTTTCAGAGACGATGAAAACTGAATTTTCACTAATATTCAAAACCCAGTAAGATGAAAAGCTTGTACTTGCTCGTCTTCATCTAAATTTAATCGGAGACCAAATCAAATCATCAAATTAAAAATCAAAGAAAAAGGAAAATAGATACCATTCTTTGAACCATTTGACAGCGGGAGTCTTGGATCGGAAGATTGGGCGCCTCTCGAAGTAATTGTGATGGAATTGGGAGTCCATCTCTTTCTTCTTCTTCTATTCGACGTCTTTATTAGAAATTCACGGTTTGGAATTGGGGGTTAGGGTTAGGGCTAGAATTAGGGTTTTCGTAATAAGGAGAGACCGCGAAGGAGAAAAAGCTTTAAGCTTTAGCAGCTCCGGTTCTGTCGGTTCATCACTTGATGTCTGTTTGGCGGGTCGGCTGAAAGGCCAGAGCCGAACCCAACTGGGTAAAATTCAAAATTTCCTTTTCAATTTGGTAATCAAAAGAGAAATGTTTTTAAATTAAATAAATATGAATAAATACGTACATGTATTATTCGAATACTATTTTATATTAGTTTCACACATAGCTTACATTTATTATTGTTGAGATATCATAACATGGTATACTTCAGTTTTCGCTACTCTTGTGCATTTATTTTCATACCTACATAGTAGTATTTTCTAGAAACTATACGGATTTTATGAGAGGGGTTATTATGTTCATAAAGATAAATACATTTTCAAACGCTTTGTTTTTGCCTACTCACCCTTCTGTTTTGCGCCCCTCCAGATTCTAGGTAGTTGTTCATCTTTGGTGGCTCACGAGGACTACACGGCAGTTCTGACGTTTCCATAAATAAATGTAGGGATCTTCTTCCTAGTTGTACAATTAGTACTTAGTTAGTTCGACTGCACTTTCGTTTTACCTATGCTTTGATATGCGTGTATCTTATACTTTATCACTTTCACACACTTACATATTATCTCTAGTTAAATAAGTTTAGTTTTGGTTTTTATTTATTCGCATTTTCTTATTATTATCACTTATGTTGCGCACTTGGTTACGTCACTCTCACGTGACGGCCAACACATCTCGAGTCTGGTAGGGGTGTGTCATCACCTACATGTAATCCTAATATATCTCTAATTAAAATTAAATTAAATAAAACTTCAATCCCACATTCTCTATCACTCTCTTTGTCACATCCCGGCTCGAACCCCCACCACATCTCGGGCGTGACTACTCCGTAACATGATATTGTCCGCTTTGGGCCCCGACCACGCTTTTACAGTTTTGTTTCTAGGAACTCACACAAGAACTTCTCAGTGGGTCACCCATCATGAGATTGCTCTCATGCGAACTCGCTTAACTTCAAAGTTCTGATGGAACCCGAAGCCAATGAGCTTCCAAAAAGCCTCATGCTAAGTAGAGATGAGAATATATATATATATGGCTTACAAGATCCACTCCCCTAGGCGATGTAGGATGTTACAATTCACCCCCCTTAAGGGCCCGACATCCTCATCGGCACACTTCCGGGCAGGGATTGGCTTTGATACCAAATTGTCACAACCCGGCTCAGACCCCCACCACATTCCGGGTTAAGGTGTGTCACTCTTCCTCTCTCCTTCTATTTCATAAACAAAAATAAAAAAAATTCGCACACACTTTATGTGTGCCCATATACTAGTGTTGATTAAAAAATGGGTGGTGCTATCTGAAGGATTTATTTTGAAAAACATGTTCATTTGAGCAACATCATATGGCATGCAATTAACAATTAAAGGCGGAATCATGCTTGCATGTACTCAAAAACAAAACATTACCATGAAATTCAAAGCCTAGTAGATTGGTGAACCATTAATCAACTCAAAACAAAGTGAGTTGAAATTATTACCTTTGTAGATTCCTCTTTGCATAAGCAAAGGCTAATCACCCAAAGAGATAGGGTCTTCATTCCTTGCTTCTTAGATCCATGGTTTTGAATGGAAAAATAGGTTTCTCCAAGTTCCCAAAATAGGGAACCTCTAAGTCTCTTCAAATAAGTGACCTAAAGAACAAAAACCCTAATTCATCTACATGGCCGGCCTACTTTGGGATGTTTGGGCTTTTGGGCCTTTGTGAATCTTTATTCATTAAGTTGTCATACATCTTAAGTCAATGGGCTTGACATTCGAAGCCCATTGGGCCTTAAGGTCCAAAACTATCCCGAGGTCTTTAACGAACTTATTCGTTTGATTAATTAACATATTAATTAATCCTTGCCATAAATAAATGATTAAACCATTTAATCATTCTTACTCATTTCCGTTTAATCTTCAATCTCCACCTTTTATGGTGTGCGATCCATTAGGTTCCTTTTAGCGAGGCAGTGGGCGATTAAAACCATTTTACATCGATTGTGAATTGAAAACAATTTTCAATTCTCCCTTTAGTGGTTATACACGTATAGGGCTTCCACAAAACCATGGTTGATGCCTAGCAGCATGTCATGGTTACCCAAGCTAATCAGAAGAGGTTAGAGAACCTATTCAGTTCGGGATTACAAATGCAATACGGTCCTTCTCTAATCTAATACTCTTGACCACATTGTTTGGTATGATATAGTTTATTTACTCATGTCTACTATCCAATGTGAATCGTTTGCTTATATGATTTCCTTGAATGTGATTTGGAACGCATTCCCCAATCTCATTCATACTCTGGCCAGAGATTCCAAATCATATCATAGAGTATTCTCCCTCAACTGTTTGAAGGTTAGAGATCCCTTGTTGCGCATTCACTTGTCTCCATAGCTAAGTGGCTTAACCTCAACGATGCCGTGACACCCCGAGGGGGTGAATTAGACATAATCAAAGATTAAGGACTTAACCACAAGACAACTGTGATGCCTCAGGTCAAAGGACTACTTTGCATTATCCCAACCATGAGTTCTCATGTGACATGGAATATAAGAACTCTTCGTTGATCACGTTCAGTGAACTCATTCTCTTATTGAGCACCTACGTTCTTGTCTTGATGTCACACACACCAATGACTCGAGACTAGTCACTCTCCCTGAGAGAAGACACAGTACGTACTGATCTTAACGGACTGTCAATGCCCAATTGGTAATCCTATGATCAGGAACATTTAGGATGTGTCTACGAAAGAATGGTCTCATTAATCTAACTTCATTAGATTGCATTCTCCCAATCACATATTCCTTGGACTTTATCGTTTAAGCATATAACATTTATATGAGACGGCTCAAACAATAATCTTTGCCCTTTATATGTTAAACTAGATTAGTTTAACATTTGAAATGTCCGTAAAGTATCATCATATGATTGGTTTTAGGGCACATTTCCAACACTATCCACACATCATCTTTTACGTCTTACACACTCCTTTTAATTTTCAGTCGTCGAATCGAATGAATTGAAGAAATAGACAAAAATTAACAAGGGTGCGTGGGAGGTAAAAATACGTGTGTGAATAGAACTACCCTTAAAACCCACAAGAGTCAAATCCTGTGAAATCCCCAATTAATTTCTCTTTTATTTTGGCGATGCGGTGTTTATTTTAATTTTTAATTGGTAATGTTAAGAATATCATCTATTTAAATAATATTTTCTAAATTAGTTGACGTGGTTATTAATAATTAAATTATTAATAAAGTATTAATTAACATTACCTTATTTGCATGTCTATTGGTGATGGAACTTACATTATGCGGAGGATAATAAACTTTTTTAAGTTAGCCAGTTGTAAAATAGAAGTTACTTTTCTTGGTCAGAGAAAATAGAAGCTACTTGATAAGGTAGGAACTAAAATTGGGATTTGAAGGGGTTCAAAAGTATGGTTAGTTTCTCCACCCACAAAAGATAAAAGTTTAGAATTAAAAGAAGAATATTTTGTACGCTCTAGATCCAATTGATACGTCATTAAAATAGTATTATGTATTAGAATTGAATGTAAGACAATGTATGTGTACATCTCTACATCTCTTTGTCGACATAGACCATATAATACGCGAAGTATAAGAAAAATGTACTATTAATAAATCATAGAGCATTATACCTTTTGAACTTCCACCTTGCTAAATGCATCCATAACTAGGGGTGGAAAAAAAATACCTAAAATTCCAAACCGAACCAAAAAATTCCCAAAACCAAACCAAAAATCCTGAAAATTTCGGTACCCAATCCCGAACTGATCCTTAAATTTTGATACAGGAATCGGTCTCACATTTTCATTCGTTCAGTAATCCCAAACCGAACCGAACCGAAATAAAAAAAAATATTATTTCATTATAAATATATATATGGAATTGTAACAGTCGTTGGATTTGGTTGAGATTTAATCTCAATTGTTGAATCCAAATAAAACCCTCACTCAATCACTCTCTCTTTACCTCACCTCACCCTACTCTCTCATCCACACCGATCTCTCTCGATCTCTCTCCTCCTCCTTATTTACCGTCTTTGAATCCAACCACATCACACAAGTGACTCACCTATCTCTCTCGACCAACCTCCCTGATCTCTCTCTCTCTCTGTCGACTTCTCATTCTTCATTGAAAAACATGTTGCAGGAATGGCAGCAGCTCAAGTGATAGCATCATCGATCCTCACCAAGAGTTTGGCTTCGTTTGAAGGACTCTGACCTTTAAGCCTTAAGTTCACTCAGTCTTAGACTTTCTCTATCTTTCTGTCTCCCTTCTCGAATTTGAAGCTCATAGCCACCTACCCTCTCACAATCTGACTTCGATGAACTCTCTCCACTCCGACCACCACCACACCTCACTGCTTCATCCCCCACCACCGATTCTATCCAGTCTCTGTGTGTGTGGGGTTTCGAATTAAGGTTAGGGTTTTGAATTGGGGCTTAGGGTTTCGATTTGGGAGCTCGGGTCAAGAGGATGATGTGGGTCCGTTTGACCATCTCTTCACTCTGTCCCTCTCTCTCGACCACCGATTCACTATCACTTTCTCTTATTTCAATTTGGGTTTTTAACGTAGGTTCAAATGATTTCAATTTTAATCTAGATGATTAGGATTTTGATGCAGGTTCGATTTCGAGAAATCCTAAAATACCAAATATATTTTGAGAATCCCGAAATTTTGGTTTGGAATTGGTCATCGGATTCTTGTCTTGAAAATTTTCGATTCGAGATTTGGTATGCTAGTTTCGATTCGGTATCTCATACCGAACCGGCCCTATCCATAACCCATTGAGTTCTTAAGGAGATTTTTTAATGTGTGCAGAGAACCGGCACATGTAATTAGACAAGTAGAGGAAATTTTTATTTCAAGTGTCCCTTCACTTATATGATGACATATAACACATGTAACCGTGTTTCATACATACTTAAAAATCTCTCGTATTCTTAATTTTGTGATTCTTCTTGCAGAAGTGTCTTTTTTGTTACAATGACTTGTTGGTTTTGACAAATTTCTTTTTGGGTTTGAACTTTCCAGAATCCCCATTGATTAAGCCGTTTTGGAAGCTTCACGTCGTAAATATTAGGAATTACATTGCGTGTCCTTCCCAATCAAATTGGTAACAGTTTGCAATCTTACAAACAATGGGTCACCCTTTTTTTAGTTGTCGAAAAGGACACAATATTTGCTAAAGGATGGTACCACACATACATTTTTATTTTTCACACAATTTTTTTTTTTTACTTTTTTGCTTATGAATCGAAGGAATTGAACAAGATCTATGAACAAAAATTAATAAGAGCGCGTGGAAAATAAAAAGGCGTGTGTCATTTTTACTTCTTATAAACTCCTCTCAATTTTCAACGTCTGATTGAATGAGTTGAAGTAGATCGATGAACAAAAATTAACAAAAGTACGTAGAATTATAGAAGGTAAAAACGGATATGTAAATAATACTACCCTTGTGAAATTGTAAGTGGGGGTTGGATTTGGTTCGGGAACTGAACTGAATCATGAAACCGAAAACAAAACCAATTTTTTAGGTATGGGAAAAATATTGGATACCGAAACCGAACCAATTGTACCGGGATCCAGATTTTCGGAAATGACAAAATAATTTTTGGATTCGGGCCACTTCGGTATTGGGCCAAACCCAATTTCACAGAAGCCCAAATTTTAAGGAAACCCAATTTCACCCCGACGAGTTTCCGAAAACTTCGATGGAAGAAATATTTGTACATGGTGAGAGGTAGTGTACTTGGAACCACTGATTACTGGTACATAATTTTGTTGTGTTTCTTGCTCTGTAATTCAATTTGATTTATGTTACTCTAGCTAGTATAGGTTTTCCACTGGTCAAGCATAGGTCTAGTGTATGTATACATACACGGAGATACATACATGAATACATGCATGCAAACGAGGGTTGATTCAGTTGATAAGGTCTCTGCCTTGTGTGTCAACCCTACTAAGATTTCAGTTCCACTGCCACCCATTCTCGTTGGGTGCGCGAGAATAAACCAATCTCTCCCTAAACTTTTCATCACCATACATACATACATACATACATACATACATACACAACGCCATGTATAATTATCAACATATATATCAGTTTGTACTCATTATTTTGCAAAGAATAGATAAAACACAACCCCATGTATAATTATCAACATATATATTAGTTTGTACTCATTATTTGGAAAAGAATGGATAAAAATAAATTAAGAGCTAGCAGTGCCATCAGCATGGTATGACACGCACATAGACACGAACGTCGTGATATTCTCTGCCCACCTAATATTTGGGAATCTTCTATTTGGACTGCATGCCCGGTAGGTTTTTCTAAAACATCAAATATATATATATACTTACATGGAAAGGCAAAGGCTGCTTCCCACTGACCCACCCGAGTTGCTTACTCAACCGAGTCGTGGCGAGTCGACTCATCCCATTATACCATAACAAGCTTTCGGATCTTTCCTCCTATTCCTTTCCAGCATCAGCCAAAACCTGCCACAGCAACAGCTTCCCACTTGAGACATGATCACCAAGAACACCATCATCACTTTGTTCTAGTACTGTTGCACATTTTTCCTGCTGCCATTTTTTAGCTATATCTTTTTTCTTCCTCCTCACCAAGTTCCTCCACATACTAATCCAAATCGGTAGCCTAACTCGCTCGATAACACAGTTTTCCATCTCCGTAACAATCCCTCCGATCGTCGGACGATTTTCTACGTTGGACGATACACAACTCGCTGCAACATATAAAATGTGCCTTATTGTGCTTGACATGTCCATCGGAAGCCCTATCCTTGCATCACAAATCTCGTCAATTCGTTCTTTCTTCGATCAATGCTACTGCCCAATCCACTATCGAAGCTGGTGACTTAGAAACATCGATGACTTTCCTGCAGCTAATAATCTCAAGCAACACAACACCAAAACTAAACACATCGTTCTTGGTACTTAGTTTGCTAGGAGTGGTGTAACAAGGGTCCAAGTATCCAATAGTACCTGCAGCGGGTGGACTCACCTGACTCGGCGAGTCAAAGAGCACGGCAAGTCCAAAATCCGCCAACTTGGCATTCCAATCTGAATCGAACAAAATATTTTCAGACTTGATGTCCCTGTGGATCACCGTAGGCTTCCCTTCGTGAAGAAATTGGACCGCGCGGGCGACTTGGATGAAGATTTCTACACGTTTAGGCCACGGTGGCGGTGTAGGTGCAAGATGAAGTAGGTCATGGAGAGAGCCATTGGGCATGAACTCCATGACAATGAGCTTGTTGTTGTTCGAGTGATCTTGGCTCGTTCCAAGAAGGCTTATAACATGCTGGTTTTTGGGTAGAGACGATAACACACATATTTCATTTTCGAGCTTGTAGTGGTTGTCACGATGTTGCAATGGCTTCTTTAGGGCAACCATTTTGTTGAGTAGCATGGCTTTGTAGACCATTCCATGGCTACCTTTACCGACGAGCCGAGTCGGAGAGAAGCTTCCTGTTGCGTTTACAAGCTCATCATAATCAAAGCCCACCATTTAACCAAGAAGTAATTAAACTTTGGTACCCTGAAAAATGTACGGTTTTAGTGTTTGATTGTTATGAAGTTTGATGGATTGGATGTGTATGTAGGTGAGAGTTGGCAGGAGAAAAAGCTGGAAGTGCTTTTGGAGATGCCAGCGAATAAAGCGGCTGTGGGGAGACGTCAAAAGAAGAATGAGTAGACAGAAAAGGAATTTAAATCTTCTTTCGACTCTATTGTCTAGAACTTAAGACTCAAAAATTTGAGTCATTTATTTATGTGGGATGATTCAATAAAATGAGGTAATGGAGATCATTATATTCAATTTGAATGATTCAGATTGTCTGATTGTTTGGTTTCGAACAATGAGATGCATAGACTATCCCTATCCATAAAAAAAAGAAAGAAAAAAAGAAAGAGTTATTGAGAAAAGGAAAAGGTAGTGAGTAGTGCTGCTGAGAAAAAGCAAAGGAACCCTGACGAGGGATGAGATTACGATGCTCCAAAAGAAAAGGGATTCTGACGAGGGATGAGATTTCGATGCTCATTAGAAATTTTTAGAATTTTAGATGCTGGTTGGCTTTGCCTGGTTGTTTTCGGGCCACTAGTCCTTGAGCCTTTAATACCCTTTTGATATTCTAAGTTGAATTTAAATCTAATTTTTAAGGGAATAATACATTATATAAATTTTATAATTGAAATCGTTTTATTTTTTTAATTTATATTTGAATTTAAAAAAAAAATTATATATTGTTTATGCATCCAAATGTATAAAACAAATCTATCGTTTGAATACTAAATAATCTCTTCGATTTGAATGTTTCCGATTATAGACTTTATATGAAGATATGATATTTGCACATAGTGGAATTTATTTTGATACCAATCTAATGCTTGACTTGGAGTTTTTTTCTTTTTCTACGATGTGATAATTTTTATTTTTTATATAAACAATATTTTACACTAAATTTATTGAAATTATAGGGAGGGAAATCGAATTGAGTATAGAAGGAAAACACACTGTTCTAGTCAACTTGACTAAGCCCAAATTTACTTACCACGTGATTTTTGAAGATAATCTTTAACTATGCGAAAGAAAAACTTTGGTGGAACGTGAAAGACACAATACGCTAACTAAACATTTCTGACTCATATTTGCACATTAACTTGGAGTTATTGAGATTATGCTAAGTGAGGTTTAGATCATAAATATATACTTTTTCTATCAAAAAATTTTAAAAATTCGAACTTATAATTTCTAACCATAAAAATATAAACACTGCTAAACGAAGAACTAGTTTATTTAAAACCTTACTTTTAATCAATTTGCTTTTGTGTGATTGATTGCTTTAGCGTGAAAAAATATTGTTTAGAGCTTAGATTTAAAGTTTCTACTTGCTACTTGGTTAATCAATAAAAGCCAAAATTCGAAGCTCCAAACCCCCTTTCTATATACTGAAAAATTAACATTGTCAACAATTTTCTCGATGTGTTATCCATGGTCCAGACCATTGATCGATTTGGTAATATAGCTCAACTACTGAACCCCAAAGTCGTGGTGGTGGTAAAAACAAGTATTGCTTTGAGAAATTTGACAAACCAATGTGGCATGAACATTACTTCCACAAGTGACCAAACAACCAAAAGCTTTGCAACAATCGGTTCAGAAATCCAACCATTTCCTGAAGTAGACATAGTTTGATGGGGAAATAATGCAATTACCTTTCCAAAATGTTTGGTAAAACCAGGAAGAGATCTGTTCCACCAAGTCCTAGGGATCCGGACCCTTGAAATTTGATCTAACGGCTATAATTATTATAACTTTTAGAGAGGCTCCCTGTTTGTAACCGTTAGATCAAATTTCAAGGGCCCGGATCTCCGGAACCCTAAGACTTGGTGGGAGAGATCTGGATAGGATCTCTCTCGGCAAAACCAATGGTTTCAAGGATTCACACGAAATAAAAACATATGATAACATCATCCTTCGAGCGGATTGAGCACGTGACCAATTAACTGAACCGTTTCAGTCATTTCCTCTCTGGTGAAAAACAGGACTAGGTGATCAACCACATGGCATCTTTTGTCAGTTAAATAAGGACACGCGGATACAAATTTACACGTCTCTGTTGTTTGCACGGAATGTCAATGTGGCGATGTACCCGTGCCATGTGAGTCTTTCTCCTTGAAATCTCACATCACATAGGTCATTTTTTCGGGTGTGGCTATGATGCCTAGTGGTACTGGATACTCTAGATTTGTAGCCGTATGATTAAGAAAAGAATTGATCTGTTTATAAGTAATTAAATCATCACTTGATTTTATAAGGGAACCTCAACTTCTTCATGAATTTTTAAATATGACCATTCATTTTTCGACGTACTCAATGCTCTGTTGCATTGTAGAACAACTGCATTGTTTTCTCTGATCTTTACTCTAAAGATGCTTAGGAGATGAACCTTAAGCTGTACAACTTAGCTGCACCTTATGACTAAAATGAACATAGCTCAACTACTGAGCCCGAAAGTCGTGGTAGTAAAAACTAGAATTGCTTCGACAAAATTGACAAACATAACGTATCATGACTTCCGCAAGTAACCAAACAACTAAACGAGACGTGGCGCAAAAACCGAGTGCAGCGCTCTAAGATTCCTACAGCCAACCAGAATTAGTGGGACAAGCCTTTGTTGTTGTTATACAAGCAGTTCAGAAATCCAACCATTTTGCGAAGTAGACGCAGGTCGATGGGGAAATAATGCCATCCGGTGTACATTGACTTATCCGCGGACAAACTCCACACGGAATGGAAGCCATTGCGCCTACTTTGCTTTTGCATTTATAGCAAACTTTTCCGATTTGAATAGAAGCAAACTCCGCCATCCCAGTGCTCTTCACCTCCACGACTCGATTGTCCAGAACCAAATCCCTCACAATCTCCTCCGTTTGCTGTTTCGTAAACTCAGTCTTGAATATTTTGGTCTTTCTGATCGCGTCTGCAATTCCCTCCAACGTAGCGACCTTGTGCTGATATATCATCTTCGCAAACTGGTCTTTCACAAGGTTTATATAATCTTTGTCGAGTTTCCCCTCCGAGTACCAAGCCCCACCGGTTAACTCCTTGGAAGGCTCGAATTCTGTAGCAATGTAATGCTTTCTCCCCTTGCTTTGGACGTTTACGACTTCTTGTATCAGTTTATTGGCTTGAAGTGACGTTTACGACTTCTTGTATCAGTTTCTTGGCTTGAAGTGTTTTCAACGTTGCGTTAAACACCTTGTCAGGGGAACGGAAAAGGACACCTTGATTTAATTCGCGTTCGTCCTCCTTACGCGGGAGAAGAGGCGTGGGAGGGGAGGGATTTGGGCGTTTGGTCGGCGGGATTGCCGGATTGGGAGTCGGTGATAAAATTGAAGTTTCACCATAAAATCAATTGAAAATATAGTCTAAAACTATATAAGCACATAGCAAATCTTGTCCCTCACCGATCTCAATATATTCCGTATATGTGGCAAATTTTCAAGTCTACATTGATCTCAACACTCTCTGTCGAATTTTCAAGCCTACACGTGGACAACAACTGAGTGACGTAGAACGTGTGTAGTCGTTTGGTTTCACACGAGAATAACCCGCTCTGATACCTCAACACGCCCCGCACGTGTGGCGAATTTTCAAGCCTACAACGATCTCAACATGCTCGCACGTGTGTTGAATTTTCAAACCTACACGTGGACTATAACTGAGTGACGTGAAGCGCGTGTGGCCGTTTGGCTTCACACGAGAATAACTCGCTTTGATATGAAATTGAGGTTCAACCATAAAACCAATTAGCTCATATAAGCATATAATAACCCTTGTCTCTCACCGATGTGAGATAAGCTCAACATTCTGGACTCTCAAATCAGGACGGGAGGAGAGGAATTTTGCAGATGCAGAGTTACAGTCGCCACTGGGCGATGGTGGTCCGATGAAAGATGGTGGTCAGGTGGTGGTGTGACTGTGCTGTCGCCGCTGTCGCGATTCGCCGAGGCCGGCCCAAAACTACTACTATCGCAATAAACTCGAAAACACTGGAAATTCCCAATTTACCTGGGACGGTAAACAGATCTTGCCGTTTGTGGGCTTTATTATTATTAACAAAATATGGGCCGGCTCGTTTGAACTCGCAGCCCAAACAAAAGCAAGAAAAAACAACATTAACGCGACCTGCACGTGGCATACAATTCTTCTCTAATATTTATTTATTAATAATACTAACGGCTCGTTTGGAAGTGTTTTTAAAATGACTGAAAGCGTTTTTGATTCAATGTTTTTAAACTAATTCTTAATAAAAAGTCAAATGAATCCTGGAAAAACGCTTAAACTAATCCTTAGTAAAATGTTTTTGATTAAATGTTTTTAAACTAACCCTTAGTAAAATGTTTTTAAACACATATGTGGTGCTTCTTTCAAAAAACGCTTAAACTGCATTTAAAATCTAAAATCAGTTTCACCAAAAGTGTTTTCAATCATTTTCAAACCACTTCCAAACGAGCCTTCAAACCCTTAAGTACTATCCACCTCCATCCAAAACCTCTCGCAATTCTTCTGGGTGTCAGACTCTGTGCAATGAGAGAGATAGAGGAGGAAGGAGGGAGAGGTTGGAATCAAAAGTGGTTGCATATGTTTAATGTTATAGAGAGAAGGAAGGAGAGAGAGGTTGGAATCGAAAATGGTTACATATATCTTAGTGTTTTAATCCAGCGGTCATATGTAACCACTTTCGAATTATGAGTTTGAGTGGTGGAGTTTTGAGTTGGACAAAGTTCTTCCCAAGGGTTTCAAGACTCTTGAAACCAAAGGATGTAAGTGATTATATTCGAAAGATTTTGTTAATATGACATCAATACATGGTAGATGTGTTTGATATGATATTAATACATGAATATAACATTGTTAATATGACGTTGATATTCAGTTGTTATATTATTGTTAATATGGGTGTAGCCCTCTTGATCCAGTGGTGGTATTTGGATGTTCATTCACTTATGAGTTTGCCTTGGTCTCTATATGCAATGCGGAGATTACACGGTGCTAGGTCAAATCATGTTTAATTACAAGAACCGTCGAGACCTCTGCTTAATTTTCTAGGCACTAGGCTCTTATTAGCCGTCCAACTAGTGTCTAGTACCTTTTAGAATGTTGAATGGCATAATTTTGACAAAGTAATTCGTTGTCACATATTTGGGACAACTTCTGAGAGAGATGAATTTTACACTTGAAGTAGGACATCCTTGACTGATTGAGGGAGAATATATATTGGTATTGGCACACACACGCCAAACTATATACATTATTGAAAGATGCTCTTCCAAATATGGTAAAATTCGAAATTAAAAAGGCCTCATAAATTGATGTTTCTGAAATCAAATTATGTGAAATAAGCTTATTTGAGGAATATGTTGGAACGTACTTTACAATATATTTTTTGAATCCAACTATTTATTTTTTAAATCTTTTCTTAAAAACCACGTCTACTAAAAAGCACCTAAAACCAAATGTCACATTCCGGCTCGGGCCCCCATCACATCCCGAGCTCGACTCCACCGTAACATGATATTGTCCACTTTGGGCTCCGGCCACGCCCTCACGGTTTTGTTTTTGGGAACTCACACGAGAACTTCCCGGTAGGTCAACTATCCTGGGATTGTTCTCGCGCGAACTCACTTAACTTCGGAGTTCTGATGGACTCAGTGAGTTCCCAAAATGTCTCATGCTAGGTAGAGATGAGAATATACATATAAGGCTTACATGATCCACTCATCTGGACGATGTGGGATGTTACACCAAAATCATATGATCGCTGGATTAAATAATAGTTATTTTAGTGTTTCTTTGAAGAACATAGTCGTCAATTTTTTCATAATAATTGAACTTCTTAATGATTTTGGTTTTCTTTAATTTTTTGTAAAAACAATCTATGACTGATGAATTAAAATTTAGACGGCCCAGACTATGAGAAAATGTTATAAAAGTGACCCCACAATTGATTCTTCAATAAAAGAGGATTGTGTGTATATATGCATATTATAAAATTCTGATTGAGGGGGAGGAAATAAAAATGCTTGAAAAGTCACTTAGTAATATGGTTTAATATTTTTTTTTTCACTTGTAAGTGAGATGTCTTAAGTTCGATTATCATCAAAAGCAAATATAAACTATATTATTGCTAGCTCATTTTTAAGTTTAACCCACTACCTCGCCCTTTTAGTGTAGAGAGTAGAGTCTACACACAACGTACCAGATATTTAGCTGTTATGCATGTGGAGCCCCTTCATTGCCGATTGGATGCATGAAAGTTTCTAGCTATGGTAGTACAGGGTACAAAACTTTCTTTAATTGAACGTCTTAATGATTTTGGTTTTCTTTAATTTTTTGTAAAAATGATCTATCATTGGTGAATTAAATTTTAGACGCTCAGACTATGAGAAAATGTTATAAAAGTGACTCCACAATGGATTCTTCAGTAAAAGATGATTGTGTGTATATATGTACATTACAAAATTTTGATTGAGGGGGGGGGAAATAAAAATGCTCGAAAAGTCACTTAGTATTACGGTCTAGTAGTATTCATCTTCGCTTGTAAGTAAGAGGTCTTAGATTTGATTCTCGCCAAAAGTAAATTTGAACCACATTATTGCTAGCTCATTGTGAGGCTTAGTCCACTTCCCCACCTCTCAGTGTAGACAATATAATTTGTTAAAAAAAAAAACTTAAAAATGTAAGAACATAGGTCCTACAAACTAGAGAGTATGAAAGATTTTTCAATGTGATCAGAATACGGGGTGATACACCACGTATCATTATACAAATAGTGAGATATGCGTCATAAAAAATTAAATTTATCACCATTTATATAATGACACATAATGTACTACATACAGTGTACCAGATATTTATTTGTTATGCATGTGGAGCCCCGCCAATGCCGACAGGGACGCATGAAAGTTTCTAGCTATGGTAGTACATGGTACAGAACGTACCTATAATTATAGGGATTGACATGGATTCACCTATAAATAAACAAGCAATTAATGCAAGTGAATAAAATGTCTATTATATATATATATATATATATATATATAATTGTTATTAGCACTTCAAAAATTTCATTTTAGATTTCAAACTTTCTATATTAGGAAAGAAAAATACAATTGTGAGGAGTGTAGAATGAGATTTTTGAAGTGCCAGTAACATTTTCCTATATATAATCTATGAGAAATTATTTCGGCACTCCCAATTTTTATAGACCTACGTAAGTTTTTCGTACTTTTAACTTTTTCAGTATTCTCTATGAAATCATGTCTGGGATGCATGTAAGCTTAGTAGGTGTAGAGTTTAAAGAAATATAAATGACGTGGATTGAGAGATATTTCATTATTTGGCACAATCTGAGCGTTACTTAAAATTTATACTAAAACTTTCTCAAATATCAGTTTGCCAATAATATGGTTGTACAAAACAATGGGCATCCAATGCACTTTGATTTTCTAAGAAATTTTTGGACCTCAACACTTGGCTCTTCCACAATCCGCATTGTTGAAGCTGTTATTGTTCGAGATGTTTCAATTTTGCACGCCAATGAAGCATCAAGCATATCTCATGTTCAATTGGAAGGAGACACGAAACTTATCAATGATGCAATCCATGGTTGATTCTCGACCACTAAAAACCGCGTACTGTTACTAAGGATACCTGCTTCTTAGTTTGGCATTTTAATTCTACATCATGGAGTCATATGTTTAGGGAGGTTATTTTCTAAGCAGATCAATAAATTTAGGATGCTCAAATATTAGCGCGTCCATAATTGAGACAAAACTATCACCTTAGTTTCTTATCAACACGATGTTAAAGAATAGGCTTTCACATCAAACATATGACAAAAAAGTACTAACTAATATATGATAGAATTCACCTGTAATATTAATATATTATCAAAGTCTTTAGCAATAAAACTCAACTCTAGTTATATGTGATTAAGTTAAGACAATATCAATAACGTTGTTGGTGGACCACGTTAGACGTAAAAAGTTACCAACTTGACTTGGATTTTGAGTGAAATTTTTATTCAAATTTAAGTGGAAATAGGCATAGCCAGCCTTTTACCTTGTTTTTTAACCTCTTACTTTATTTGGAAAGGGGAAAAAGTAAATGAGTGGAGGAGTAAAAGGTTAAAAGGGGAAAGTTAATGGGAACAGAAAGAAATGTAGATCAGCGCTGAAAAATTTAATGATGGGATATTACGGTAAATTTAGGCTGACAGAGGTGCACAAAATCTGAAAAAAAAACAGACCAATAATTCAACGGCCTTAATTGGGAAGTTGTACCCTCCCAAGTGGGGTCGTCTGACTTCTGCCTGTGAGCTTTGACAACTACATTTTTGGAATTTGATGTAATTAATCTGGAAATTTAATTAATTTTGGAGAAAAAGGAAAGAAAAGAGTTCGATGAGTCTCCATCGAGAAATACGGGGAACCAAACAAAGGAGTATGATGCATGAACAGTAATTCCCCACTGTGGCCACTGCCCTTTCCCCCCACAAGCGCTACAGTGAAAGTAATATACTCATTTAGGACTTGTTCTGAAACACTTTAAAATAATCGAAAGCGTTTTAGATGATATATTTTTAAATTCTAAAAACACTTGAAATTATACTTTTTGCAAGAAACACTTCAAATGTTTTTTTAATATTCACTGTATTTTTGTTAAGTATTGGTCCCAAAACATTTTCACAAAAAATGTTTTTTGGCTGAGGGGCAGTTTGGTCCAATTATTTTTTCCGAAGCCAGTGACACCAAAACGAGCCTCCGGCTTTATATATAGACAGTTGTCCATCAACCATCCACAAAAACCCTTTTTCCCTTCCACACACACCCCCGTTAATTTATGTTATTCGATATTCTTTAATTCATTATTCGAAAATCGAAAATTGAGGGACGTGTGTGAAAAGTAAAAAAAAAAATGTATAAATAACTCATCATTTTAAAATTTAGAGGATCGAACTTTGATCGCTAAATCACTACTCCAAGAGAAAATCTTGGTTACGTCTGTCTCGTGCCACGACACTTTCTAAATCGGATGAGATTCTCATGAAGTGAGTCCCACCCCTTGTAAATGTGTTGTCGAATAAAACAACTTTGCTCAAGATCTACTCTTACTTATCTTTTCTCCCAACCTGAGCTAATCCTTACTAGTTTGTATTAACTCAAATAATATAATAACTTCCCTAACTCTCTGACAACAAATAACTTGAGCAAGTGATGATCAGGTTTTACCAAAACTCGAACTACACTCTCAAATTTTAGCTCACACATACTCTCACTTTCACAGTGATTCTGAAAAGATTACGAATTGTCTATCTTGATACAGCTGATTGACTAAATGATCTCATATTTTAATGCTTTTTCTTACAGATATAATATTTACATGGTAATATTTATAATATTATCCATTTCACATAATTTTGTTTTTATGATTGAATCTTTATATAAAAGAAATCAATTAAAACAATGATTATTTAGTCAATCAATTGTAGCAAATAGATAGACGGTTTGTAATATATTTATCCATTTCGACCATACATTTTCATACAATTGAATGTCTAAATGATCTCATATTTTATTAATTTAATTTAGTTTCCATTTTCTTCCTTTTTTTTTCTTCTTCCTCTTCTTCTATATAGATATCATATTTCTGTTCTAAATTTCATAAATTATTTTATTCAATTTTAACTTTAGTGATATTCATTTAAGGCACGAGGACCATGCATTAGGGGTATCGATTCTTCGACCTGGGATCAGTCTCGTTTGATCGGAAGAGAGTTGTGGTGTCACTAGTATTACAATTTAGTAGTTTGAAGTTCGACTTTCATAAAAAACGAGTTCGATAAATTTATAATTATAGTAGCTCCATTTATGATTGTTTCCAAATTCCCCCCCCCCCCAATATCGTTATATAAAAGTTGCAATATATGTATCGAGCTAAAATTATATATGTATCAAACTAAAAGTTGTGTGAGTTCACTTTTTATTACATTACAGATTAGTAAACGAGTCATACATATATCCAGCTAAGTTTGGTGAGGGTTCACTTTTCGCCATTGCATGGATATATATAATAGCATTGAGTTTCTGTAACATTTATGCTAATTTTCTTGCGTAACTTTTGAATTAGTGCCTAACATAAAATACCCAAGTAAAAAAAGTCCGCGGAAATTCTCTATTTTCCTACTCATCTAACAGATTAATACCACTTAGCTTGAATCACCATTGCTCGAGAGATTTAGTGTGCCTGAAATCTGAGATGGAACACCGCATGTGTTTATACAATTAGAGGAAAAAAAATTCAATTGTCCTCCAATTGTATTATGACATGCGATATTTCGCTCTGTGTTTCGGACACATTGAAAAATCTCTCACATTGCACATGTATTGACTGGATGCTTAAATTTTGAGGTGGTTGTCTCATTCATTTGTTATTTAATTCCAATTAATTAGTAAAGCAGTGCGATTATCCCTAACTAACGTTATAAATTTGACTATTAAGGTTTTTTACAAGGTTATGATGATAAAGCATCATTACCAACAGTATTGATGATATGGATGCAAGTTTTTTAAATACACCAAGTAACCTCTATATTATATGCTCAAATGATTAACGTACAAAGTAATATAATTTATTTTTCTCTAATTTATTTTTGTTTATTTTTATTGTAATTCTTAATTCAGTAATACTTCTCTTCTCAATATTTTTTTTTCTTTGCACGAACGATATTATCTATCACTAGGGGAGAGAGTGGACTAAACCTCACAATGGACGAGTCATCTTAATATAGTTCAAATTTGCCTTTTGCGAGAATCGAACCTAGACCGCTCCAATGCTAAAACTTCAGACTTTGTTGGGGTGCCCAGATCATTTTTCAACTTTCTCAATATATTACAATTAGATAAAGGGATAATTTTTTGCCACTAATCAGCCAGGCAATCCAACTTGGACCCTTTCGCTTTGATTAACTATTTTAATTTGAACAGATAATCAACTAGCTTAATTAATTCCTTAATAGCCACACAAATCCAACCCACATCTCTATCTTTATCAACTTAATCATTTTTAATTCAACAAGAAATATATAAAAAAATATCAGACAATATATAACAAATATAAACTTAAACCCTTAGAACAATTTTTAATTTTCCATGAATTGCGGTGCCAGTTTTTTTCATTTGGGTAAGAGATTTCGAAATTCCAAAGGATTGAGACAAGTTATCTAGAAATGGAGTATAAAATGTTAGGTAGATGAGATGAGGAATGTTATTCTAGTTATCATGTTGATCAAAGGCATATGAGAGAGATTTGCAAATAATTCACTCCACAAAATTATGAACAAATTCCTCGTCAAAATACTCTGTGGCCAGTTCACAGAATTTTGTACGTATAACCAAAACCATTAATCATATTATAAATATTATCCATTTCCTCCAACCCTCCACGGATATATATATTAGAAATCAATGGCATGCTCACCGCACCAATTGAGAAAGAAAATGTAATATAAATAATTAAACAAAAAGGGAGAAAAGAAGAAAGGAAAAAACAGTGTGGAGGGATGTTTGGGTTGGGGATGAGCTGTCCTGGTAGTGCATTAGATGCTTTTATCTGATGCTTACCTGCGCTGTCTCACTGCTTCCTACCCTGCCCTCCACTGGGACAAACTGGACTCACCCTCCCACTCCCTCTCCCTCCGATATATGTAATTTACCATTCGCACCAGAAGGTAAATCGGGAGAGTTTTTTTTTTGTTTACGAATGCGGGAAACTCTTTTATTGCTGAAAGGGCCACTTGAGGATAAGTGAAAAGACCATGCTGCACCTAAAACAGTGTTGGCTGCGTGATTTTTGAGAGATTTTTCATTGTGCCGGGAGCACTACATATCATTATACAACTAGTGTGACAATTGAAGAAAAAAAAAATTCGTTTAATTGTATAAGGATATGTTGTGTTCCGTCCTGTGTTATAAAGACACCAAAAAAATCTACCGTGACTGTTTCGGAAGCACAGAAAAAAGGAAAATGGAAAATAAAAGAATGTGTATAGGGAGAGAGAGATGTTGGATAAATAATTACTGGGGACGGGATGGGGCGGGGCAGGCATAAATGTGAGTGTAAAAAAGGCGGATTCTTATCATTCATTTCACCAGACCCCACGACTGGAGGGCGGAGGGCGGAGGGCGGAGGGCGGAGGACGGAGGACGGAGGGCGGAGAGGTCTCGTCCTTCTCTTGTTTTACTTCCTAGCTAGTAGCTCCACCACAGAAGGTCCCCCACCTGCTAAATTGACCTACTATCTATCTCTCTCTTTCTCTCTCTAAATTAAGAGTAAGTGCTAGTTCTGGTGGTGCTCAGGGTCAGGGGAAGGACAAGAACCCCACAAGCACTTTACTCTTAGTCTTAGCTTGGTCCAAACCCAATCCAATCCCTGCAACATTTTTAAAGAGATTCTCACTCCACCCCCACCTCTCTCTCTCTCTCTCTCTTCAGAGTCCAACCCAACCCTAGAGAGAGAAAGACACAGAAGAATGAAAAGTACTATTGTGGATGACTGATGAGTTAGAGAGAGAAAGAGAGAGAAAGGGGTGATGAAGATCAATCAGCCAACAGCAACTTAAAACCCAAGAAAAAAAAACACACAAAAATAAAGATATCATCTCTCTCTCTTCCTCCCTCCCTCCCTCCAAGTTCAAACCCTTCCCTACCAAATGGACTTATCAAATTTCCAACCCAACAACAACAAGAAGCAGCAGCAGCAGCAAACCAACAACAACACTTCCACTTCCACTTCTAACAACAGCAACAACAACACAAGTCTCCAACACCACCATCTTCTTCCTCACCTTCAACAAAAATTCCAACACCACCACTCTTCCTCCTCTTCTTCTTCTTCTTCCCACTTTGTGGGCCCCTTTGATGGCATCAGATCTTCCTCAGGAGGAGGAGGGGGAGGAGGAGGACCCCCTTTCGTGGGCTCCATCTCAATTCAAGCTGGCCTCACCACCACTTCCCATTCTACCCCACCACCACCACCAACTTCTGCTCCTTCCTCCTCATCTTTCTCATCTTCCTCCTCCACCTCCTCCCCCTCCTCCACTTCCACCTCCGCCGCCCCTCCCCCTCACTTAGTCGACGCCTCCCTCGCCATCGCCACCAGATCCGATCCTCACCCACCCACCAGACCCGCCTCCCTCCTCGACTCCGCCAAAAATAACCAAACTCAACAGCAGTTGACCATTTCACCCGCCACCACTTCTCCTCCTTCAGCACCGGCAGCACCAGCGACCCAAGTGGCCAAACGATCCACCAAGGATCGACACACAAAAGTCGAAGGCAGAGGCCGCCGCATACGAATGCCGGCAACCTGCGCCGCCAGGGTCTTTCAGTTGACCAGAGAATTGGGCCACAAGTCCGACGGCGAGACCATTGAATGGCTCCTCCAGCAAGCCGAGCATGCCATCATCGCCACCACGGGAACCGGTACCATCCCCGCCAATTTCTCCACCTTGAACATCTCCCTGCGCAGCAGCGGATCAACGCTTTCTGCTCCGCCTTCCAAGTCCGCCCCTCACTCCTTTCCCGGCGCCTTGGCCCTCGCCCACCATCCTCACTACGACGAGGGTTTTGCCCATTCGGGTTTGTTGGGGTTTCATCAACAGCATCAACAACAGCAACATCAACAGCATCATCATCAGCCGCATCAGTCTCCTCTCATGACAGCAGATCAAATTGCAGAAGCGCTTCCAAGCGGCGGCGGAGACAGTGCTGGAGGCGGCGGTGGAGAGTCGACTGAGAATTATATGAGAAAACGCTTTAGAGAAGATTTGTTCAAGGATGACAATCAAGGGCAAGGCGAAAGCGGCAGCGGTGACGGAGGAGGGTCGCCGTCCAGGAATAAGGCATTTAAGGGCGCGAGTAGCGGCGGGTTACAACTGCCGAAACAGCAGCAGCAAGGAGCGGAAGTAGGATCTTCGGGGGTTTTGAGGCCTTCGAGCATCCTACCAGCCACTGCGATGTGGGCAGTGGCACCTGCCCCAACGAGCGGTGCTGGCAACACATTCTGGATGCTGCCAGTAACCGCTGGTCCCGGTGTACCCTCTATGGCAACCGCAACATTTGGGGCTGGTCCTTCAGAAGCTGCCCAAATGTGGACATTCCCGTCCTCAACCGCGAGTCACGGGAGCACATTGCAAGCGCCAATGCATTTCATGCCGAGGTTCAATCTTCCAAGCAGTCTTGAATTCCAGCAAGCAGCAGCCGGCGGCCGAGGGAGTCCCCTCCAATTGGGTTCCATGCTAATGCAGCAACCACCGTCGCAGCATCTCGGCCTCGGAGTTTCGGATTCGAATTTAGGCATGCTGGCGGCTCTTAATGCATACTCTAGAGGTGGTTTGAATATGAATTCCGATCAACACCAGCAGAATCATCATCATCCGTTGGATCATCATCATCAAGAACAACAACAACATCAGCCTCAAACTGCTGATAGTGGAGATGAAGCCCCAAACAGTTCTCAATGATATGAATAATATTTGGTTAGTTTATTTATTTATTTTTATTTAAATTAAATTTGGCAATGCACATGATTGCATTGACATGCAGCTTAATTAGATAAAATTTTCAGTGTGCCGGAAACACGAAAAACCTCTCGCTTGATCATTGAAGTCCTCCTTCCAATTTTTCATTTAATTAATTAATTAGAGGATGAGTAGGAACACTAAAGATTTGTTGGGTTTGTGTTTTTGCAGATTTGGAAGTTGAATTCGTGATGAGATGAGTGCATGGATGGTATCGCGTTGCATCTGTCTGATAAAAAGATAGGTTTCCTAGCTAGCTACCATTTGTTTGTTAATTTTTGGTCATTTTTTTATTTCCTTTTTTTGAAATCAATTTCTAGATTGGTTTGGAGGAAATTCAAGATTAATATGTAATTTGTTAGTTTGGTCCAAAGGGGCTTAAAAGGGAACAAGAAGAGTGAGTGAGATTGTATAGGAGGAAGTATTTATTTATGTATCTATTTGTGTTGAGTGTTTTTTAAATGCTTTATTTGTATGACAAGAGAAAATAGAAGACAAGCAAAAAGATTAAACGAGAGAATCAACCATGACTCTTTTTTACTTTATTGTTTTGGTAACGTAAGGGGGTGGGTCATCTAAAAAAACTATCTCAAAGAGTTATTGCAGATAGTTCGAGTCCTACGGACTTCCATCATAACATCAAATAACTAAGTTCAATTTTAATAAGGAGGATTCTCAAAATAATGCTACCCAAGATTCATATTATAGTTTCAATTGGCAAATTCATGTACCACCATGTTCTTCTTCTGCTAGACAAGCACTAACTTGCATTCGCGTGTCATAAGTTGTTTGCACTAATCAATGATGCTGACAAGAAGATGAAAGCTGGTTTAAGTCATATTATTAATTAAATTAACCACCAAAACTAAATTCATCTCCACTCATAATCTTGAAATACTCTTGTTAGCTACAAGTTTTAGCATCAACCGCCTGCCATTTGCTCAAGTTGACAGAGAACCGCCAATCCAATCACCGATATTATCTCTAAGAACTCCTCCTGCACCTATATTTCCAATGGTAGTGATCCGAGAATCGTCCACATTAGGTGGATCCCAAGCGAGAGACACTTGCATCCTTGGAACACTAGAGCATACACAATAAAACATAACTCTAATTCTGATTGCATCGATGTCTTTTATAATAAAATTGCATTTGCTAGGTTAGCTTAAATTCGGTACAATATCGGTACTTGACTCATTAGTAGTAAGCCGTTGGACTCCCTCTGAAATCTTGATAATCTTTTTTCTTTCGAACTTTGACACACACACATTGTATAAAGCATCTCTTTTTAAGTTTTACCTCTGAAATGGCAAAAGGCTAAGGGGTATTTTGATATGGATCCAAAATAACTAAAAATTGGACCTATTTCAAAAGTCAAAAATCACTAAAAATTGAACCTATTTCAAAAGTAAAAAATCATAAAAAATTGGACCTATTTCAAATTTTCTCAAAAGCTAAAGCCAACAAAAATGGTGAGCTGCTGCTGGTTCTTCACTTTATGAGATGAAAAGCTAAAGCCAACAAAAATGGTGAGCTGCTGCTGGTTCTTCACTTTATGAGATGGAAAGGAATGTGGTTGCCAGATGCATATAGATAGAGCAGCTCAACGCCCGAGTTAACCTTTTTCTTAGGGAAATAATAAGAAGAGAATTACAAAACATATAGGACAAGGAGATGAAACCAGCAGCCAACTAAGTTGATGTGTATGTGTGTGTGTGTGTGTGTGTGTGTGTGTGTAGAGAGAGAGAGAGATGTGTAGAGAGAGAGAGAGAGAGAGAGAGAGAGCATATAAAATGTAATCAATCCAAGACAGAAGTTACAAGACAGAAGAACACAAGAGAGCGATTAAATAAACAAACAAGCCTGAGAAGGCAAGTCAATTGGCTTTTACCTCCCACCAAATTGTAATCGCTACTACCATCAGCACATCTCTAATCGAAAGGTCCAGATGGTCAGAGAGCTGAAAATAATCCGAAAATCGTTTCCAATCGAGAGCCAGACCAAAGGGCTCGTGGGCCCCATTGGACAAAAAAGGGCCAAAGGGCCAACCGACCTGTCCAAAGGAGCCAACTGAGCCAGAATTTGAAAACCAACGGTAACTAGCTGAAGTCAGCTAGCCGTTATTTTTGAATTTTTTTTCTTTTTTTTTATTTTACAAAATTTGTTTTAAAAATTGTAAATTTTTTTTCCCTGTAACTTACTAAACCATTAAACATTACATAACATTAAGTAACATGAAACAACATTAAACAATATTAAATAAAATTAAATAACATTAAACAATTTGGAATTGGATGAGGACCCCCAGTTGGAATCCGAAGATGATCAAAAGTTGGAATTCATTGTAAACTTGAATTGAAAGAGATTGAATTGAAATAGATTGAATTCAAAGGTGTGTGAATTATAGCCAAATATCCACCCTATTTATAGTCCAAAAAAATTCAAATCCAACAACTAGTTAGTGTCAGTGTGCAACGGCTAGCTAACGTTACTTAGCCGTTGGATTTGAATTTAAGTTGTAGTTTTTAAATAATAAATTATGTTTGGCCCTTTGGCCCTCTGTTGGAGATGATTTTTTGTGACATGGCTAAAACGAGCCCTATGGCCCTCAGTTGGAGATGGTAAGAAATATGACCATATACTGTTCATTAAAATATTAATTTTTTGGAGGGCCAGAGGGCTAAAACGAATCAACTGGTCAGCTTTCGGTTGGAGATGGCCTTAGCCACCACCCCCTATTCCCCCCCCCTCCCCCCCACACACACACCACATTGTCACCACTCATACCCAACCACCGTGGTCACTACCATGTCATCACTAATGCCACTATCACCACCTTCGTTGCAACCACCATTCTCATCACAATCACTGATATCATCTTAAAATTTATATTACAAAAGCATTATTACTAAATATGATTTTGTTTACTTTCTCAATCTAGTATATTAAACCAAACACGTTTCCAATGCCTTTTTTCTCAAATCAAACTACCGTACATACCTTTTTCCGATCATAAAAATACACAATTTTATTAGTCGTTTTCATTTTGCAAAACAATTCCTTAAATATTTGCGACATAGACCATCTTAATATGTACACCATAATTAATCACATTTTACAAGCTTCTAGAAGAAAACAAATGCTGTAAGTAATCTTTTGAGGGGTATCCGGAAAAGAAAAGAAAAAGGCACTTGAGAAAAAGAAAGAACAACAAAAAAGGAGAAATAAAAAACGTTGTGGTTGAAGCCAGCCACCTGACAGATCAGTGACAGACATTTTTGAATTTTAAGGGTGACTTTTATGTTGACTTGTACAGTTCCCTCTTTTTCATTGCTTAATCATTTTCTACCATAATCTTACACATACGATGGAGTAGACGACGTTTTATTGCAGTAGCGTAAAATAATTATGTTTATACACTTTAAGGTGGTTAGAATTTTACATTTTGGGGTCTCGTAGATATTTTACTATTTATATCTGTCCCCACTAAATTCTGGTGTATTTCTAGTTGGCCCCTACTTGATCTGCCTACTTTTTATTTAGTGGGCAAGAAGTAGACAGCATATTATCCCTAAAAAAGCACGAGGGTTGCATCGGCATTGCATCAACCATCAACTAGGAAAAGAAAATAAAAGATGAAGCACGTGTTAGAGATCTTAATCAAGTTTAGGCACATTGTTATGAACTTACGAGATTTTCTTAATTGAAAACACGAGAAAATTAACCACCAAAGTGTACACAAAGCAACATGATGAATAATGTTAATCGAACTCGACCTAAATTCAGTATGTGTATTGTTTAAGAAAAGAATGAAAAGGATAGAGAATTATGATCAAATTTGGAGGCTCCCACAACTAGCTTGGAGGAGAGATGGAAAAAATGAGGCTTAGGGTTGGAAAAAAATCCCAAAAATCCCAAACCAAACCGAAAAATTCCCGAAACCAAACCGAAAAAATCCCAAACCGAAATTCCCGAAAATTTCGGTACCCAATACCAAACCGATCCCGAAATTTCGGTACGGTAATCGGTCTCAAGTTTTTGGGATTTAGGTATTCCCAAACCGAACCGAAAAAAAAAATATATTATTTAATTTTTAAATATATATTTAGATCGATAGAGTCCATAGAAAATGAAGGCTTCAATAGTTGCACATATTTCTGTATGAATGATTTAAATCGACAGAGTCTTGCAATTGTAGCATCTACATTTGAATTCAGATTGGCAAAGTCTTGCAATTGTAGCATCTACATTTGAATTCAGATTGGCAAAGTCTTGCAATTGTAGCATCTACATTTAAATTGACATAACTTGCAATTGGCACATATTGCAACGGGCTTCTTAGCAGATTGCAACCCAAAAGTGTTAAAAGGTTCAATTTTAGCCCAAAAACATAATATTTTAGTCCAAAAGCCCAAAAGCCCAAAATCCCAAAAGCCCAAAATCATTTCGGGATTTCCGATTTGTCCCGAAATCCCGAAACTATTTCGGGATTCCCGAAAATTGGGATTCCCGAAAATTTGGTTTGAGATCGGTATTGAAATTGGGATTCCCGAAATTTTTGGTTTGGGAATCGGGACAAGGGTTTCGGTATGGGATCCCATACCGAACCACCCCTAATGAGGCTAAGGAGAAATTTTTATGTGTACTGAAAACGCTTGTCATTTTTCAAAAAGACCAACAGAAGCGCACGCCACGCTTGGGCATGTACCACATCGCACCGAACCTCAAATAAGGAGCAAGAAAGCTAAATACAAAAGAAAGTGTCATATTATAACGCTGGAGACACAATTGGATAGAACAAATATCGGAAGTCATGGTAGTTAATATTACAGTATAATAGTATTCATCTTCACTTGTAGGTGAGAGATTTTGGGTTTGAGTCTTGTGGATGACGTGTTTGAAACCAAGTTGTTCGCCACCTTTAGTATTAATATATCGCTGTATAAAAAAATGTGAAAAATCAAGAATATGAGAGAATGAGAGATTAAGAATGAGTATGAGACCAACTACTTTCTCTTGATCAGTTTACTCCTTGGTTTTTAAGTATTGAATTACAAAATATAATGTAGGAGACACAATTAGGCATGCCCGTTAAAAAGAATTAAATTGGAAAATTTATTTATTTTATCTCGTCGGTGTTAGTAAATGTGGATGAAGTGAAAAGATACTTCTTCCTGTAAGTAAGTGCTATTAATATTCACCAAAGAAAAATGCTAAGGAAATCACATATTTGTACCATGTACAATCTCATGCGGGAACTAACGCATACAATCAATATACAATATCATAAATTCATCAATTGACGTAACATGTACGCCTCACTTGTCACATAAGATGGTACGCATGTAGTCTCCTTAACATTTTCCTTCGTTAAAATACTAATGCAATTTCCTGAAACATTAAATATAGTTCTTAGTAATTTGAAAAATAATGAACATCAAGTGTAATCTCAACTCTAGCAACCAACTTTTAGCGGTGCACTACTAAAAGTTGGCTGCCAAAATTGAGAGGATCGGGAGAGAATTGATCCAAAGATGATCCAATTCCCACTTGGTGAAGCCCTAGGGTTTGCAATTGGCTTAGGAGACAAAACTCAACTTGCACCTAATTCATAATAGAATGTTAAAAATGCATATGCTAAGCATATCCACTTAATAATAATTTACACGTAATTAGCATCGTTGAGAGTTCCACTAATCCCGCAATTCACGCAGGAAAAGGTTAAGAAACTGGGATTAATTAATTTAACGCCGACGCTGTAAGGCTTAAGCATAATAAAGTGATTTAAGTTATTGGATAATAGTTTGACTTGTATGCTCACAAAAAGTTGGAAAAAAATGATTAACTTAATCCCAACACGCTTAAGTTTATCAATTTGCAGGATGACTGTTTGCATGAAGTGGATGGACGGTCAGGATGGGTCTGCTCGATCATCATCAACGGTCACGGAGCCACCAGCGGCACACTACTTTATCTATTTGTCGGGGGAATAAGATCGTATTTCAATTATGCTTCCACGCGCTTTCTCGTGCTCCAATCATATGTCTCGAAAGTGCTGCTTTGGTAAGATTGGGTACTTATACGGCGCGTGGCTGAAGAAAGAGCGTGTACTGATGGATGTGTTTGAAAGTACTTTTAAATGGCGGAATAAAAAGTGTTTTTGAACTAAAAAATGGAATTGGATCCTCGTCCCATCCCTTTTCTGGGGATCCTAGGATCAACGCACATGGTCATTGATCAAAATTAGCGCGGCCACAATTTTTTCTTTTTTTATATTTTTCATACAAAATAAAGCTGCTTTATTTTTAAAAAATATAAAAAATATTTAATTGGGGCCGTATAATTTTTTATCAACAGTCTATATGCGTTGATTCCTAGGATCCCTAGGGAGGGGATCCGGCGAGGATCCAAATCCCTAAAAAAATAGTTCATTTTGAAAGAATTATCAGTTATGTGTTTCTTGCATGAAACACTTCAAATGCTTTTTCATGAATCATTTTTATTTGTACTCTGAATTGGTTCCAAAAACTTTCAGTCATATTAAACGTACTTCCAAACATGCTTTCAATCATTTTAAAAATACTTTCAAACACACCCTATATGTTAGCATAATTGCATCATGCATACAAAAATTATATGGTGGTAGGGTTCAAACATTTTAATTGTTATACCTTAATTTTTATAACCAAAGATATAATAGTTAAAAAATCCAGAGCATCCATACTTCATAACATCATATAAAATCCTTGTATACATGGAAGGAAACAAATATTTTGAATTAATATCGAGTCCCTGGTGGATAAGATCTTTCATTTCAACCCACTCTCTTGAGTACTGATCAGAGTAGTAATATCGCTTCTAACAAAGAAGAATATTCCAAATTAATACCCAAAAACAAAAAGAATTTAACAAAAAACCCTCGATACTGTTCACTTTAACGAAAAACCATATTTTTACACTAAAAAGTCAATCTTGTTACTATTCACTTTACCATTTATTTTGTCCTTATCGAAAACTCAAAGTTTTCAAACGCTTTTCATTAATTTTCCTAAAAAAAATGACATTGGTAGTCTAGTTGCTCTCGTATGTGCACTCAAGTTCGACTCCTCATCTCAACAGTTTAGGCTATGCTAACTAAAGCAAGAGGCTTGTAGTTTAGTCGATTTGATGATGCATCCGAGGTTCCGAGTTTGGTTCTTTCCATCCCCACTATAGCTGGTATGAAACCCAATTATAATATGAAAGCAAAATGTGATAGAATTATCAAAATTTGTTCATCAATTTAAGTGGAGGTATTGAGATTTAAAGCATCCAAACTCAAATCCTCTACCATCTGGACAGTGTTAGTAAAAAAGTTAGCTCCAACATCCAAGATTTAACAGATGCTCCTTAACTGAAATCTTGAGCAAGCTACACAACTTCAATTTCAAAAACCGAAACCACGAGTCCACAAGTGAAAATTGCACGAAACCACATGGACAACATAGATGTAATGTAAGTTGCTAACTGAGGAACCGAAAAACGAACATGGCATTGCATATGAAAGTTCCATAACAACGGGTGAAATCTAACCGAATTGCAAACGAACATGGCGTTGCAACACGATATGCTCATGAAATTTGACCCATGAAATCGGTCTTTGATGAAATACTATTTCTATACATTTGATAAAGTTTGATCAACACCTAGTTTCTATGTACAATATACAGAATGGAACCATGAAACCCTTCCGATGACGCCCTATCTTGAACCATTGCATTTAAATTAAGAAATTATTATCATATCAATCAGATAAAGACTGCAACGCAACGCAACACATCTACAACTTTGTTGATTGAATGGGAGCACAATAGAAACCTTACGGCCAAAGAGAAAAAAGTTGACTTACTTTTTTACAATTGCGTAAACACTAAGCCAAACTTTAGCGATCTTTCTTTTTCTGAAGTAACTCCTGGGATTCCAGGGGAAACAGAGACAAAACCCGCATCCTGTACAAGATCGAGTGTCAAAACAGATAGAAATGTCACTTTCCGTAACCCTATTAGAACTCAAATAATGCTACTTCCTCAATTTCAGGACCAACCATATAATACTGAGCATATTGTCAATAATTTCATTAATATAGCAGTTTTAAATTTGAGAACCTACACCCTCCTTTCGCGCTTAAGCATAAAGTTATTACATATAAATACTAGAGCTCTATAATTCAAGAACAAACAAGGGATGAGGGCGGATGAGGGGCTTACGATATTTCTTTTAGAATTATCCACAAAAAAAGAACCCAAAAATCAAGTATGAATTAACATATTTGAAACACAGAGATCATATATTCATTAAGTAATGAGTGGCTTACGATAGGTTATCTGCAGCATTAAATATTGGAAGCTTTCCCAACCCAGCACCTTCCCATTTTGTCCTTTGAGAAGAAATAACTTGCTCAGCCTCTGAGCCCGTTGCTGTCAAAACAAACTGAAAACATCTATGGTTACCACATGTGAATAGCAAGATCATAGTCAAGTTTTATGCAGAGTCAATAGCTAATAAAGTAAAAAGAAAAATATACCAATGGAAAGAGAATTGCCATAAATCCGTAGCTCACAAGAGGTGAGAAAAAGAGTATAGGCAGAACGCAAGGGCTCCCTGCAGAACCATAGAGGACGTTAATAACCTCCAAATATGTAGACGAATGTTAAATATAGGTTATACAGAAATGTTTACGTGCCTAAAATATCTAGAACATACTCCCATATGACATGCTCTTGAAGTCAAAATATTGAAGTATTCAAAATATTGCATTTCAAGAGGGTTTATTTTTAACTGTCTCGGCTTTTATTTATATTATTGTCATAATTATTATATTATTTTGCTTTTTGGCTTGCTTACAACCTAATAAACATCATATACTTTAAACACCTTGATTTCAGCCCCACAACAGCGATTCAATACCATAAAATAAGACGCAATGAGTACTTTAAATATTATCTCTTCGTTTTTTCCTTTCAAACCAAACAAAATCAACCATCAAATATAGTTGATCACATGTTGATTCCAAATAAGTGAAAAAAGAACTGACCGAAAATAAAAAGTGAAATTCTACAAGCATGTGTCATGAGGAAGCTATCTTGGATGGGGAGAGAAACGAGGATGGGGAAGCTATCTTGGATTTTGCAATGGCATATGATCTCTTCTTAGCCAACACTTTCTTTAAGAAGAGAGAAGAACATGTGATCACCTACAAGAGTGGGTCGTCAAAAACACAAATAGATTTTCTTCTAATGAGGAAAGGAGATCGTATAACTTGTAAGGATTGCAAAGTTATACCGGGAGAGAGCTTGGCTAATCAACATCGCTTGTTGGTGATGGATGTACATATCAAAAGAGAGAGAAAAAAGAACAAGACTTGGAAGTGCCCAAGGACTAGATGGTGGAATCTAAAAGGAGAAAAACAAGCCATTTTCAAAGAGAAAGTAATCACCCAGTGCGTGTGGGATAGAGAGGGGGAAGCTAGCCAAAGGTGGGATTCCATGGCTAGTTGTATCTGAAAAGTAGCAAAAGGTATTAGGAGAGTCCAAGACCTTTGCTCCACACCAAAAAGTATCTTGGTGGTGGAATGAAGAGGTACAAACAAAGGTGAAGGCTAAGAAGGAATGTCGTAAAGCCTTATACAAGGATAGGACCGATGAAAATTGTGAAAGGTATAGAAGAGTGAAACAAAAGGCGAACAAAGCTGTGAGAGAAGCTAAGTTAGCGGCTTATGACGATATGTATAAGCGACTAGATACCAAAGAAGGAGAGTTGGATATCTATAAACTAGTTAGAGCAAGGGAAAAGAAGACAAGGGACCTACACCAAGTGAGGTGCATCAAGGATGAGGATGGAAAGGTTCTTGCTACAGAGAACGCGGTCAAAGACAGATGGAGAGGTTATTTTCATATTCTTTTCAATGAAGGACATGAAAGGAGTACTTCTTTAGGGGAGTTGAGTAACTCAGAAGAGTGTAGAAACTACTCCTTTTACCGTCGAATCAGGAAGGAAGAAATGGTTGAAGCTTTGAAAAAGATGAAGCATAGAAAAGCAGTGGGCCCAGATGATATACCAATCGAAGTGTGGAAAGTCTTGGGAGAGACAGGTATAGCATGGTTCATTGACCTTTTCAATAGGATTTTGAAAACGAAAAATATGTCAAATGAGTGGCGAAATAACACTTTGGTGCCTATCTACAGGAATAAGGACGACGTACAAAATTGCATGAACTATAGGGGTATTAAACTAATGAGTCATACAATGAAGCTATGGGAGAGAGTCATTGAGCATAGATTGAGGCAAGAGACATGGGTTTCGGACAACCAATTCTGGTTCATGCCAGGACGCTCAACCATGGAGGCAATCTATCTCTTACGAATATTGATGGAAAGATATAGAGATGGGAAAAAGGATTTACACATGGTCTTTATAAATTTGGAGAAAGCGTATGATAGGGTCCCAAGAGACATTCTTTGGAGAATTTTAGAGAAGAAAGGAGTACGAGTAGCATATATCCAAGTTATAAATGATATGTATGATGGAGCAAAGACTGCCGTAAGAACTCATGAAGGACAAACCGAAAGCTTCCCCATAACTGTAGGATTACATCAAGGCTCATCCTTAAGTCCTTACCTTTTTGCGTTGGTAATGGATGAGTTAACAAGATATATTCAAGATGATATTCCTTGGTGTATGCTTTTCGTAGACGATATAGTGTTGATAGATGAAACTCATGAAAGGGTAAATGCGAAGCTTAACCTTTGGAGAGAAGTGTTGGAATCTAAAGGTCTTCGCCTAAGCCTATCAAAGACAGAATATATGGAGTGCAAGTTCAGTGCAAATGGAGGCCAAAATGAGTTAGGGGTGAGGATCGGAGATCAGAAAATACCAAAGAGCGACTGCTTTCGCTACCTAGGATCTATCTTGTAAAATAACAGAGAATTAGATGGAGATCTCAACCATAGAATACAAGCTGGATAGATGAAGTGGAAGAGTGCATCCGACGTGTTGTGTGACCGCCGTATGCCACTGAAGCTTTAGGGAAAATTTTATAGGACGGCAATAAAGCCGGCGATGCTGTATGGCACATAATGTTGGACGGTGAAGCATCAACACGTACATAAAATGGGTGTAGCGGAGATGAGGATGCTTCGTTGGGTGTGTGGGCACACAAGAAAGGATAAGATTAGGAATGAGGATATCCGAGGTAAAGTAGGAGTAGCCGAAATTGAAGGAAAGCGGAGAGAAAATCGGTTACGGTGGTTTGGACATGTGCAAAGAAGGCCTACTGACGCTCCGGTTAGAAGATGCGACTACGAGACAGAGGTTCAGGGCCGAAGGGGTAGAGGAAGACCTAGGAAAACTTTGGAAAAGACTCTAAGAAAAGACTTAAGAGTACTTGGATTTAATGGAGGACATGATACAGGACCGAGCGCAATGACGTTCTAGGATTCATATAGCCGACCCCACTTAGTGGGAAAAGGTTTTGTTGTTGTTGTTGTATGTGTCATGAGGAAGCTGCAAAAGTAAAATTCTAAGTGAAGATCTATATTAGCATAATTTTCAACGTGGAAATAAACACCGGATAATGTGGCCCAGGAAACTGTATACAAGAAATAATAGTTCACTAGAAGGGAAAATGAACTGAAAATCACACCAGAATGGAAATATATTTACCAAAACCAGCAAAAAAAGCCCAGTTAGATTCAAAGAAATCCAGCCGTTTTTCAAGACGAACTTCAGAAAAATTCCATTTGTACCTGAGTTCAAAAAAAAAAAAAAAAAAAAAAAAAAGGTGCATTAGCACACTTATCTAGGCAATTAGTGAGTGCAATATATTAATCCGAAGGGTATATGCACCACGTACTCGAAACAGTAATAAGCATACATCCAGGACAGAAGCAGAAAATTTAGTGCCATCCCAACATACGGTATAAATCCTGTCACATATACCTGCAGAAGCCATCAAGCCTGTCATTCATAAAGTGACACATAAACCATGGAGCATATTGCAATTGAAAATAAGCTCCTCTCTCTTTTTCTCTATCGTTCTCTAAGTCCAACAAGTATGAAATCTAATTCCTGTTCCTCCCTCTATAATTCCATAAACCCAAATAAATACAGAATAAAAGATATATATACCTCTAGGAAGAAACAACTCAAAAGAAGTACTGAATACACCTGCTCTCCTATGCCAATTATGACCCTGCAGATTAAACAGATGCATACACAACTCATGAGATATATAAATATCTATCCAGCAAGAAATGTCAGAAATAATAAATATAAAAACTAATAACAATAATAAAAAACGTAAGCTCTATTTAAGAATAAGTTAATTACCCTCCCAGGCCAGCAGGTCTTTCCGGACCAACAATATTTTGTAAGACCAATGCCTCATTTTGTCTGACAGGATCCAATGTGGTTGGCGCGGACCTCCCCATTGAAGAAAATCCATACTTAGCAATGTCGTTGTACCTTCAGTTAAAATAAAATTGTAGATTTGGATAATCACATGGTAGAAATTGGAAAAAGAAAAGGCATATCAAGACATGCAGAACTTTAAACAAATTATCATATATTAACAACTAAAGGATCATAGTGACCTCCAGAACTTTTAACATTCAGCACTGCAAGATATAGATGTGAACCTTACCAGGGCTCAGTTCATTCCAATGGAAGTTAAAACAGAATCAAGTAAATAATGTAGGGGTACAACAATGAAGCATAAGGGGGTAATTTGTTGAGTACCAGATGTTGCTCAGGATAATGCTGAATACGTATAGCGGGTAGAACCAAGTTACCTGCAAAGAAAAAATAAATAATAAATGAAATAAACAAAAATTATATGTTCTGTGAGTTGAGAAAGGGATTAAATCCCTTCAGTAATTCGGGCATCTATAATGATAAAGAAATATTTATAAGATAACAATAACCGAGATTACATACCAGTACAAAATATAATCAGAAACAAAGAATTTAAACATCCAGATATTACATGATGCATACCCTAAACACTTTCTTTAGCCACATCGCGAAAGATTACAAAACTTAATTTTAGGCAAAACATTACACAAAATCCATATTCATCCATTTTCCTACTAAGAAATATTCAATAGAATGCCATCTATGCACTAAATGAGGACCTTAAATTGACTGCATACTCACATAAAAGAGTTGTACAAGTCCCTGCCGCAAGAAGGAATAAAATTTCAATATACCACCAAATGAGCAGAGTTCTTGAGAACTATATTCTGGGCATCTATCAGGTAATATCCAGTGTAGAGTTGGGATGATGACTGAGTTAAGGATAATTATACTGCAAAGAGACAGATTAGGGAATTGAATTTCAATACTAACACATGCAGATTTAGGATGCACTTTGTCCAGCAAAACACTGGAAGCACTTTTATAAGTAGCTTTTACTTTACATGATGTCTATGTAGAGGTAATACTGGGAAATGAAAACTAAGGCAACCATATAAGCATCAAAAAGCTTGACAGCATTGACATTTACCTTCAGCAGGAACAAAAAACCTAGGCCATTTATATAGATAGAAAAGTTGAGCCAAATTGTGACATAAAAATCGTTAATTTAACTGATTCATTTAAACCTCGATAATATCAGGCAAAAGAATCGCCTATATCATCACATTAAAGCTCCTTCATTCAGTCTATTTCACTTTGATGTCAAAGACTCAAAAGTATTCTCTTCACCAATTAGATAAAGTGCACCTTCTTCTATCATTCTTATCCCTCTGCTTTGATCAACATCATTCATAGCTTCTACATGTGTTACAATATTTCCCCTTGACCGAAGTCCATCTTAATTTAGTACAGCAAACCTCGATTTGCTTTCCTTTGTCCTTCCTAAATTGACATTTTTCATCCTAACCAGATGAAATAGAAAGAACGCAAGATCAAAATTTGGACACCAGTCGCTCATCTTTGTAAATACTTTGAGGAGTAGTAGATTGCCACAATCACTCTCAATCGTAGTATAATCATTAAAAAGTGGTTATCAAGTAGTTCTTCATATTCGCAGAAAGATTAACAAAACCTGATAAAATGCATCTTATATTGAGCACCCTACAGCTTTGGCAAAATAATCAACTCGCTCGCATCTCTAAGAAGATACAACTTCTAGGAAATTTTACGGCCTAAAACTACTCAGTTTAATCAAACCATACCAATAACACAGAAAAATCAGAAGATGGACTAAATGACTAGTCTAAAACATCACAATCAAGGGAAATTTTTGTAACTGTCGAAAAATACGAGCAAAGCACACGAAATTTCACGGATTTATAAAACTACAATTCAAAGCCATTCCTTGAAGCATTAAACTGTTTTCACTTTCATGACTCATGAGAAAAACAGAGAGAAATGTACCTTCCTAAGAAAATGAAGCCGTTTAATAGAAAACACTGTCCTGTTCGAATCATAAGCTTTCTCGACCTGCCATAACAAATTAAAGATGATAAATAAAATATTAACTAATTAAAACATAAGCAAAAGAAAACAAATTTTCTTCTCTTGCTTGCTCCGCTTTCTCGGCAACCAAACAAGAAGTAAAGGCAGTTAAACCGAAATTAATCAAACAATTAAAGCGTGCGATTAAAGTAAATATTTCTAGAGAGAGGAGAGAGGAGAGAGGAGAGAGAGAGACCGGTGGCAGAGGATGAGAACGCGGTGAAGGCAGCAGGCCTCTCGGAAGCCCTCGAGCCAAAGCAGCGTGGCTTGCTTTGATTTTGCTCTGAAAGCGTTTATCCATGGCTTCTTAGCTTCCATTTTTTGCTGTGTCTGTGTCTGTGATTGTGAGAGAGACGGAGGACGGAGGTCGAAGGACGGAGGTCGAAGGACGGAGGACGGAGGAGCTTCTGTTTTTAGGAGAACCGGGAGGAGAAGGTATCTTATATACTGCGCGTCACGTCAGCAATCATTATTTGGTTCTACAAACAATTGGAAAACGTTTAATTACATCTTGCACCCTCTTTACTCTTTAGTTTTAACTTTGGATCATCTACAAAATTATAATATCAAATAACCCCTAAAGTTCGAAATTTGTACACTATTGGTCCCTTCAGCGGTCTAACCATCAAAAGAACGGTTCTTGTTTTTGACGTAGCACTTAGTTTTACGACATGTAAGTAATGAATAAATACCTTGTAAATTCCATGTAGAGATGAAAAGTACCTCACATTACAACGATTGGTGTCCATGTAAGAAATAAATAAATTCATTGTGTCCAATTAAAATAGGTCCTTACTTCTACCCCAAATTGAAATTGAACCAATTAAAAATAGAAAACTTTAACGAAAAGCTCCCGGTACTGTTCACTTTAACGAAAAACCATATGTTTACAATAAAAAGTCAATCTTGATACTATTCACTTTACCCTTTATTTTGTCTTTATCGTTAAAACTCAAAGTTTTCAAACCATTTTCATTAGTTTTCCTTTAAAAATATAGTATAAGATAGAAATGGTGCGAATGGTGGGTGGGTCGTGAGTTGTGACGATAGAGAAAAAGGAGGTGGGGTTGATTGAAGAGGAGAGAGTGAAAGACAGTGGATGAGGGAGGATGGGAATGTAGGAGTTTAAATTCTAACGGAGATTTAATGAGAATCTCATTTTTGAATTAAATTTCTTAGTAGTTTACACTACGAGAGTTTAAAATTTAGTTTGTTTTTACCAAGAAGTTACCTTCTGAATGTTCTATCACTACAAGAACTATTTATCCAATTTGACCAAAATATTATCGTGTCAAAAAGATCAAAAGTTCTCGAAACTAATATATTTCTCAATTCACTTGACGGGACATAGATGATACAAAATCTAAAGTAAGACATAATAAAAGAGGTAAAGTTAAAATTTTGTGGAAGTAGAGGATAAAAAAAATTTCCAAAATTCGAACTGGTTCGAGTCCGAGTGTTCCCAAGAAAACGAATAAGCCGGTCCATGACAGAAGCGGCACACGTGGTAAGACCGGTCGGTCGGTCGGTGAGACCAATAAATATAAGAAAAAGAAACCGGGCGCCGGAGCGGACATTACCGACGGTCGAATGTTATAGAGAGAGAGAGAGAGAGAGAGAGAGAAGAGATGGTGCAGCAAGAAAGCAAGGAGCCGTGCAAGAAAGAAGCCTGCTACATTCAAGCATGCCTCTCCAAGAACAACTTCCTCCCGGAAAAGTACGTCCATCCTCTTTTTCCTCCTCCTCTTTATTATCTGTATCTCTTGTTTGGTTACCGAGAAAATATTCTTTGCTTGCCGAGAAATAGTGGGACATTTCTAACACCGCCACTTTCTTATGGCTTTTTAGTCAAAATAGTGAATTGGCATCACTTCTCATTTTCATCCCTGACAATGAAAATCGATAAAGTGGTGGCTGAGTTTTTTCTACCGTAAATTTTGAGGTTCTTTCGTAAAAAAATATGTCAATATCCCAGTCAAATGAAGTGAAGGGTTTAGTTTGACAAAAATACACTTCTTAAAAAGTTGGTCACCGATAATTTAACGTGGACATCGATAAATTTTTTACTTTGTGATTTGTAGCTGGTTAGGGGTTTACCAGTGTGTGTGTCTGCTTGCTTCACAACTCCCGTTCATTCTTCTCTTCCAGTTTGTTATTTATACAATAAGACAGTAAAAGGGCGTGTTTGTTAGGGATGATTGGGCTGGATAGGATAATTGCTAGATCAAAGGCATATTGGATAGGACCTTGACACGCTCCAAAAATTTAGTCCAAGTTGAGGGTAGAAAATGGGTTGCTCATGAAGGAATACTGTCGATTAAAAGGGATAACTTTCCTTCCTCATTGTTCCATCTTCTACATTCAACTTGGACTGAAAGGGATTCGTCGCAGGTTAAAGAACCACATCCAGATCCAGCCACAAATCCCGAACTTTGTGGCTGACATCGACCTACCACAGGCGCATCCGCTGGACTCAGCTGAGACTCTGCGATTAAAGGCGGAGTCGTATTTCAAGGATTCCCTTACTCGTGACCGATACACCTGGTTGGACATAGCACAAAGCCTTGCTCAAAGGGTTAGCTCCGGGGATATAGTAACTTGAGATGATTTCAGTATGCTGCTAGACCCGTTGCCGAATCCGGGGTGTTAAAGAATCAGAAAGGGTGCATTTTTTTAGGAGGACTATAATAAGGAGGACGATGATCCCCTCACGATCTACTAAAAGGCAAGTAGCTTGATATTGGTTCAAATCCAATTCGTGAGAAGAAGCGTCAAATGATTTGGACAGTTGTTGCGCTGGCGGAGCGGGGAGCCTACAGGGAAGATTGGGGCAATGAGGAGCTCGACGAGTATCTGCAGACCCTCGGAAGTTGTAGTCCGGTTTTTCATTCAATATGCCTTGATTCCAGTGAGTTGTGCTATCCGAGCAAATCCTTCCTAACAAACGCGCCCTAAGGGTCTCCTGCTGAAGTGATTAGGATTTGTTTCCCTATCTTATGCATATGAGATTTATCAAACAAGAAAACATGACCGAGTAGAGAAATTGCCGTCTCTTTCTTCAACATAGTAATGAAAGGAACTTCTAACACTCCCGTTATCTTAGGTGGTCTTTAGAAACAGTTGCTTAGGAGTGTCTGTTACGTGGATAGTACGAGGTCACATTCACTAGCTATGACCTTACTGAGAGAATTCTCTTCCAGCTTGTCTTTTTGATTCTTCATACATGTTTCCTCCTCTATGTTTTATTCATAGAAGCAAACCTCTGGTCGTTGATAGCCAAAAGTTCTGTGATTGATACACCTTTCACCATTTCAGTGTCAAACCGATGCATAAAAGTACATGGTCTGAATATGGTCGGAATCTCACAACATTTCTCGTTATTCTATATGTAAGGCGTTCTCCTAGTTATCAAACTAGAACCTTTATGATCCGGTCCATCAAGTATTTGTTTTTAATATGTTGGATCATGGTTAGGGTTGGTTCAAAACCGATCTCAGTTGCGTTCTAGGATTCATACAGCCGATCCCACTTAGTGAGATAAAGCTTTGTTGTTGTTGTTGTTGTTGTTTGATGTCGGATCTTGATTATGTGCGAACTTGATCATCATTTATACAAATATTTAGCTACCTATTTAAGTTTTGGCATCTGAGTCCCACAACATTGAGTGATGTTACCTTCTACTGCCATTTAAAAGAGTGACTTAATGTTTATAGTGTGTAAGCTGTCATTTTCGTAACAGTTGATTCTGGTGTTGCGCCCCCTTGGCTAAAAGTTTGCTACTGCATGCGGCCTACTTCTGCTTTAACTTGGTAGTAAGAGTGACTTATCTGTCAACTTTTCCACTATCACCTCCAAAAAACCAAACTCAGCCTTACATAAAGTTGCCAGAGTACGCTTAACCTCTGGATTTGAAATCACTTGTTATATACCTGGTATTGGCCATAATTTTCAAGAACATTCTGTAGTCTTAGTAAGAGGGGGAAGGGTTAAGGATTTACCCGGTGTGAGATATCACATTGTTCGAGGAACCCTAGATGCTTACGGAGTAAAGGATCGTTGTTGGCATAAATTGTCCACGTCAAACGTCATGCGTTCATGATGATTCTTATGCATTATGTTCTTTTAGTATCTTTTAACTATTGACTTGTAACCAGTGCTTATACTTTGCAGGTGCCTGAAATTCATTGAACAGCTGCAGGCGTGCTGCGAGAAATGCAATTACAACTCAAAACACTGTGCTTCTGTCTCTAGTCTTTTGAAGCAAAAGCACCGTCAGATTCACACCCAAGATGATTAAGTGTAGCTCTCTCCCTGTATCTTCATCTTCCCGGAAGACACCACCGAGGCCAAACGCTTGGTGCGGTTACGACTTACCGCAAGGTGCTAAAGCTTATGGCACATTACATGCAATAAAATGTGGGAAAGGAAAATGATTTACACAATTTTGTTGCCCGATGAACGATGCTAGAAACGTTCTATGTTTATGTGTTGATATAGAAATATTAATGTGCGTATGGTTCAATATGCGTATATGTGGTCTAGAATTAAAAGGCATTGACACAGGAATACACGCATATTGAACAAGTGCATATAGTCTGTACATGGTACCTTTAACATCACGAAGTTTATTCAAATTTCTGCGGTTTCATGTGACTGCACAAGTTTGTCGTGCAAACTCGGATTACCGGATGAATCGTCATAGATAGGAACTTTTTACATCTGTCAAAATGTGGATTGTTTTGAGGCTTATTTTTACCATGCATTTTAGAATTTGATTTTGATTTCACTTTGTCAGTAACTCAAAAGTATCACTTTACTCGTTGAAACTCACAATTTGTTCTACTTTGACTTGTAACTCTCTCGTCTCGTCTCGTCTCTTTGAAACTTAGAAGTCTCTATCTAGAACATTTGTGGGACCCACCACCCAAAAAGATATACCACATGTGCCCATAAATTTGATTATAAATCTCTACTATGTGTTAACATTTAACAATAAAAAAATATTCAGCTTAAGAGAAAGAAATTAAGAATGGAATTTTCTTCGGTTGACGAGTTGTAGAGATGAGAAAAATAATAAAGAAATTGATTAGCTTAGTGCACCCAAATCTAACTTGCATAACAAAATTAACATAATTAAGGTAACGTAGACCGATTTTTGAGTTTTAGAAAGTAAAATAACAAGGCAAGATGTACTTAGGAAGTAAAATCAAACTCACGAAACGCAAATGATTCCGTATTTATAGTTCACGTGATAGGGAAAATTTACAATGCGATGTAATCAATGCAGCGTGAAATGAACGAGGCAAGATGTATTTAGAGGCTTCCCTCCCCTCAAAACAAAGGGAAACAAGATCACACGGTTTCAAGTTTCAACCCAAAAAAAACAAGGAATTTCATGCGGCAGCCTCTGCACCAAGAAAGGCGCCATACAACCGTGAACACCGTCATTATCCAAGGTATCCAACGTTCATTGGGACCGCAATAACAAGTAGTACAGAGACAATAAGCACAAGTTCAGGGTGGAAAGGGGGTATGATTTTCTTCGAAATTCATTGAATGGCAAATGTTAGCCAAGATACACCGCAAAACCAATTCGCGCAAAATTACAATCCCAGCGAATGTCTTGCTCAAGAAGTGGGCTGTAACTGTAACAAAAAGGAGGAAACTCTTACCAATCTCTGAAAGTATCGAAAAACATATGATTCGGTAGGTGGGCTAGATACGATGCTCCATAGAATACAGATTCGCTTAGCAAGGTCCTCAAGAAAGAAGCAACCAAGCTTGTGGGGAAGGCAGATGTCAGCTATAAGGAATTATTCTGCCGTCTAAGAGGGATGCCTTCAGAACCATCGATTCCATCTTCATCTGCATGCTTAGATAGTCGCACGGAGGACATTGATGTTGGCAAACCTACACAATTTGATAAAATAACCAATCCAAGGTTCAGAATCCATAAAAAAAAAAAATTAATTGTTCTCGTGAAATACCACACACCCAACCACAGGTCTGTTTGTTAACAATCTAAGATTGACGATAAACCATCAGTGACAAAAATATTTAAGGAAGCATACCATCAACCATATCCTTCGTTCTGTGAAGAAGAAAAGTTCCTCCAAGGATGGTTACAAACCCACACATTTCGGTGACAACCTGAGTTGGACTCTGTCTGTCCCAATCCTGAAAGTACAGAATGCCACATGATAAGTTGCAAATGGATATCTATTCATGTGAAATATTGTAACCCGGGTAGAAGAAAAGGAAATCTGGATTATTCAAAACAAAAACACAGAAACTACGTGGGCTAGAGAGAGAGAGAGAGAGAGATGTAATGAACAACTTTTTTCTTCAAAAAAGACATAGAAAGATTAGTAGGACTAGCTTATAATTTCAATTTATACCCCTCTATGAGATATGTATTTCATGACAAACGAGTTCTAACTCTAAATAGTGAGAGAAACTATATTAACAAACCAAAAAGAAACAGAGAAATAGTAAGGGTACCAATACAATCTGCGAAAAAGAATATACCTTGAACATGATAACACTAGCCAGAATAGTTAGTGATGTGAACATAACATAGTATATAGGAGATACCACAGCTGTGTTGAAAGTATCAAGTGCCTGCGACGGAAAGGAAAACACCTATCAAAATATATAGGAGGTGAAAACCCAACTCCTCATAAATGAGTTAAGGGCATCTTAAACTGAGATGTCAAATGATCAAAACCAAACCCTCAATGGCCTATATGGCAAGTTAAAGTCCAACGTCCAGTTTCTACTCCAACATTCGAATTATTATTCTCTTACTATACCTAAGTTCTTGTATACTTAGGACTGGGCTACCTCGCCATCTATGATAGTTATTTAGATTGCTGGTCATTTAACCAATTCACTATGTTTGTAATGTTGGATTGAAACATGAGTTTCCTATCCAAAAGAAATAGAACAGTTATCAGGGAGTAATACTTGTTGAGTATGAAATTACAAAAACACTTGCTTACAAAGAAGCCAATAACCACAATCACACAATGTGATCTATTGCAGTTTTGCCACAATAAAGCATATCTGCATATCGTTGATGAAAATCTGTGACATACTGCATTGTTCCGCTAGCTGTGGACAAAAACAAATGCAATTGTGGAAGAACCAAGAAAGTAACAACTTCATGATTAGACTTTTTCCAATTTCAGGCCTTCCTCAATAATCCTTAGATCATTTTCTGATTGTTGGCATTATCATTAAGTTTTTTTCTCTCCATCCGAAATTTTTTATTGGGAGAGAGGACAAAGTGTCAACTAAAAGCATTTTTGAAAGACTAAGACTTGCGTTTGGCCAAAGAAGTAATCCTTATGATAACTAATTTATTTGGGTAAGCACAAAAGTTATGGTAGCTGAAATGTATACCAGAGTGTAGGAATAAACTAGTTGATTCATGCTCGACAATAACAACTTCAAGCATGTCCAAGTGCTTATTTGGAATATCAAAATAATAACAAATATAAATATAATAAATATTAACACAAGGACAGAAAAATGACTAATACTTACCTTATTCAAATAATTCATTTGGGTAAGCACACAAGAAATGACAACTAAAGTGAAGACCCAAGTTTGGGGGTAAACTAGCTGATTCATGCCCGATAATGTCAACTTCAAAGCAATTCCAAGTGCTTTAACACTCATGACCTGTCAAAGGACACCTTTAGAGTTTGAAAAAAAAACACATTTGAGAAGAGGAAGACATGACACAGATAAAGCACGAGTACTTGAAATTAATATTATAAGTATACAGCAATGCATACCGATAAGGAACCAACAAGGGAACAAACTCCAATGTAGACCATTATGTGTGTCTGGCCATATTGCGGGATAAAGTGGAATATAAGTATAAACACAGCAGTTATGACCAAAGCTGCATACAAGAGAAAACCTACAACAAACAAGTATGATTATCGGAAATTATCCCTTTTCCTTTTAATGTAGCCAAAAGAGCAACAACAATACATTAAAACATGAATTAAGAATAAAATACAATAAAAGAACGATTAGATGCAGAAAATGACCCAATTACCTGGTTCCATGGCAAGATCCCAAACTTCTGTAACAGATTCAATCATACGTTCTTGAGGAGCATGTAAAACAATCGTTGTAGAACCCACAACACACAAAGCGCAACCAAGAACACCAAAAATATGAAGCCTCTCACGTAAAATAATATGTGCAAGCACAGCACTGCAAGATAATATTACGATCAGCACTAAACACTAAGAAGCAACAATATGGATGAATGAATTTTTATCATGCCTGATAATTATGCTGAGAGCACCAAGAGGAGTTACTAGTATAGCTGGTGCAAAAGCATAAGCCGCAAAATTAGCAATTTCCCCAACAATCACTGTCAAAATGGCAATTGTCAGTCAGAATCTTCCTTTTCAAAAATAAGTTCATGACTAGAAGACAAATAAATACCCATTTGGTTCCTTGGACTATAAAATGCTTGTTTCTGTGGTCAGCTATAAATTTGCATGTAGATACTTGAGAACAATCTGTCATTCCTATTTATTTTTCTGAGAAAGAAACTACTTTATTGCAACAATAATCTAGAAAACCATGCTAAGTCACCCCGAAGCTTTGATCGGATTCTAGTCACACTGAGGTTAATGAGTAAACTGCAGACATTGGTCTACATATTGCCTCCGTTGGTCTATTGTTTCCGGCGGGAAGGAATGATTTTACTGTCAAGGCTCTCTGAAAATGCTTGAATTTCCCTCACCAAGGTTAGCCAAAACTAGAAGTATACCCTTAAAGACTTAAATTTATAGATCATGAAGTAATTTTCAATGACAGGTGTGCCCACTTATTGTCTAATGGTGTAAAAGGCTTTCCCTGAATTACGATCTTGTAAAATAAATCTCCCCAACGCCCTTTCTTTCCCTGATTTTGAAGCTTGTCTAGAAGTGTACCAGTTTTTACTGCATCAAACATTTGTCCACTATGATCCACATGTTTGTATGTTCAGTGTTCTACATACATGACAGAAAACGTCATTTGTTTTTCTATACTATTCAAAACAACTTTAGTACCTTTCGGTAACATAAATAGAAATAATAGTCCGACAGAGAAACAAATAATTGGTTTTCATTGATCACGTAACTGAAAAAGAGAAATATTCAACTCACTCGTTATCATGCCCACCCACCAAAGTGGCTCGTATAGGTAAGAATATCCTCCGACTCCTGCCAAACATGTAAATGATTCATACATATTATCCACTGTCAAACACGAACGGAATACGAAAACGCATAAAGCACAAAGAATAGACAAGAACCAAAGGCATGAAAGAAAAGCTGCAATTATCTAGAGCATACAAAAACCAATTGCTGTCTATATGTTGTTTGGATACTGGGATTTTTTTTATCACAACAGCTAAGGTGATGCATTAAAATACCACAGAAGTAAACAGGAGAAATATGACATGATCAGTAACATGCCATATAAACAGAAGAAAACACCCATAAACAGGAGAAATATGACATGATCATAAGGGTCAATATCCTGAAAATGTTCGATCAAAACAATCTTCTACACAAGATCAGCAGCTAACAATCACTTAG